CACAAAGATCTCTAAAGCACAAGTTTGGGGACGAATCCATCAGGAACCGTAGGGGGAGCATCAAAAGTGATCCTTTGGATGCTGCAATTGGTACAACGGAAATGCACCGTGTGCCTAAAACTAAGTGCAAGCCGCGGCATGTTGCCTTTAATGAACATGGGCCCAGAACAATTTGGGCCGCAAATAAAAAAACGACCGCCACTGGCCGCGCTCCGGGCAGTAGCCACACTTTGGCAAGCAAGAATCGATTGGTATGGGAAACTTGTGTGAGGCCTAGGGACGATTGCCTTTTCTACAGGTATCAAGGGGCGGCCCCCTGCCGTGAAAACTGAAGCACTTCAAATAACGCACCTCTGGCGAGCCAACTGCAAGACTTGGCGTGGATTCCTTCCGCTTGATGAAAGCAAACTTCAACTGCCTTCAAAGAACACCAACAACAGGTGGCAGACAGGTGGGACTGTCATTTCTCAGGCAACCTATTTCTATTTGTGGTCTCGAAGAAAGACCGTGAACGCCGCGTTGGGCAAGCCACCCGACCAAGCCCCTCTGGATCCGAAGATTCCTCGCCTCACCATCTCGGCGCTGGAGTAGATCCAGTCAAAGGGCCCGGCGTAGCGCCGCAAGCCCAGCCTGAGCCCCCGGCCTTTTGGGTGGAGCTCCTTCCATATGCGGATTGAGCTCCCCTGGATTTGGTTGGTTGAGCTCCCTCTTTTTTTTTTGGTTGAGCTCCCCTGGGTTTGTTTTTCTTGGAAACTAGTAGTTATGAGTTCGCGAAAACCAAGAGGGGAACACATCCAGCGTTTAACACCCGGAATTCTTTAGCTGTGCCACATATCGCCGGAGACGATATGTGCTTGCCGATTTACTCGCCGGCTTTTGGCAAGCGTCCGTCCCCCAAGAAATAAGTGTACGCTTACTTCGGAATGAGACTGAGAGGAGAGAAACCAAGGATTGCCCAGCATTTGTCAGAGCGCGCAGTATTGTCGGCATCGAACCACTTGAGGAAGGCCACCCCACCAAGCAGCTTTCACCCAGCCAACCAATGGCCTGTTGCTAATTAGGTAAACAACTGGATGCGTGTTTTTGTTCACCCTAACTTCAATTTATCCCTTGGTTCTTTCTGCCTTTTGTGTCTTTCCTCGTGGCTTCCTTTTCCCAAACCCTAAACGACCCACCCAAAAGCCCGAAACCGAGGCGCTCGTCCAGGGACTTCGCCACAAAGCACCTCGAGCCCAATGACATCACGTGGGTGAAGTCCATGGCCTGAAAACTCCGAAGTGGGCGCGGAAACTTGCATCTGGCTGGGGTGTTCTCAAAAAAATACGTCCAACCCATTGGTTTGGTTTTGTTTGTCTGAGTTGTTTGTGATACAAAAAAACGAGACTGTTTGCAAGACGCAGTCATATGTTAGCTGTACTTCCCCGCTTTTTATGAGCTTTTGCTCTCAACAAGTGACAATGTTGTAGATGTTGGTCCATATTTGGTGAAGCTGAACATGGAAAAGGAAGTTCAAACAGGTCCCAGCATTCTTTGGAGGGGCCAAACTAACCGCGGATGTTCGATGGGAATGGCGGGTACACAGAATGGGGCATGGAATGGGCTCTTGGTGTTTGCTGTTGCTTTGCCTTGGAAACCCATCCACAACTGGAACACAATTTACTTAGTCAGAGTGGAAGCCACAGTAAACATTGTAACGGCTCAAATTCCATCCAACACGAATATGTATACTGTCCTATCCAAAGTGCACATTGATTGTCTTGTCAGGAACATGTGGTTCATAAGTGAGCTGAGGGCCGCAAAAAAGCATGTAGGTGGAGCAATCATCCTTTGACATCAGAATACGAGAGGTGATGGTTCCTGTGCCCGCAAACGGTTTGTCAGGCTTGCGCCGGGCAATCGATTCTCCTTGTTAACTGTTCTGCAAATGGACAAGAACCAGGCTTCAGCTTACATGGTCTATGGAGATTTGGGAACCCAATCCGGGCAACATCCAGGGCCATGCAGGTATATCTCTGTGAATTTGCCTAGGTTTTACACTATGCCCAGAGGACCCTATGGGTGCGTGTTTGAATCGGGAGCCTCTGATCGACATCATTTACGCAGAGTCTCAATTTCCCCTTCAAGCATCAACGCAAAAAGAGAAACGCTTTAACATTGGCTCAAGAGGTGTCTAAAGCCACCGAAAGGGGCAAAGGCTTCCAGCTACATGCGGATCGGTGGATCGCGCCCCTTCAGACATCAAAAGAGCTGCAGCGCCCCAAAAGCGGTTTTCTAGCGGGAAATGCTCCAACCTCTTGGAACTTGGAAGGGGGCGGTTTTATGCGGCGCTTATTTCGAGAAGGTTTTGAAGGCCAAGTGAGATTGCCCAAAGGACTTGCAACTCATAGGACCTTGTGAACTTGACAGGAGGAAATATGGACAGTGGACAGCAGTAGCAAGCCAAAAGGTTGACTTTGCACAACTGAGCTTAGGGCCCAAAATTGAAACCGACCTGGTGGGATCCCTTAGAACGAGTCGCCAAAAGATCCTATTTGCCCAGCCCAAAGCAAGGCGCTGGCTCCAAAGTGCCTGGGCTGTTGCCCGTGTTCACTTGTTCTTCCTGCCACTTTTGGGGGCTTTGCGCCGATAGAGCAACTCGCTGAGCAGGTTTCCCAACCAACATATGATATGTACACACACAGAGGCACAGTGCACAGAGGTACAGTAAATGTCCACGTGAGCGGACATGTATTCAGCCTGGCCGCCATGGTTTGCAGCCTTTTTGGCTTCCCTGAAAGTTGAAACCGTTCGGCAGAGGCAACCGAGCACGCCTGGACGGCCAACTCATCCCGCCATGGCTTCACGCGCGTCGCAACCGCGGTGTGAGCCCGGCAGATGGAGCCCCGCTGGAGCCGAGTTTCGCGAGCGCGGCTATGGATTTTGGATCTGGCAAGTGACCATGTCGCACATCAGGTCGGAAACCTGGTGGCCATTTAAGGATGTTCGGCATCCATCCCTCTTCCCCCTGCATGCTGGAAATCCCAAGTTTGCAGACTGCTCAAACTGAACACTGTAAACTCCCAGCGATGGTGTCAATTGCTCAGATACCTGGAAACCCCCAACGTGTGTAAACAAACATGCCTTTTGAAAGCAAACTGCATTTTCAGTCTGGGACAGGAATTTCTGCCTCCAGGCGTTTTAGGGGAAGGGGACTTTTTGCCAGGTCAAGCTGGTAGACTGAACTCTGCCAACGGCAGTTTGCCGATCAAAGTCGTTTTTGGGCGTTCACAGAAGTTCTTCAATATTCACGAATCGCTCGAACGGCGTTTTGAAAACCAATCGCACTCTTTGGCAGCAACGGCAATTAGTGCAATTTCAATCAGCGGCAGAAATTCAGCGCCCCTGGGCTTTCCAGGTATGGAATAGTGTCAAGATTGAAGATCGCCTTTGATGGATTACACCGGCAGCCAACAAATAGGTGATGAGTCACGGCTTTGGACAGGCCAAGCGATTGACATATTAAATGTGATCCCGTGTGATCCCGTTTACCTTTTTCCCAACTAGATACTTTTAAACATAACTTGGCCCAAGAGGTGAACAAGGCAACGGAAGGCCAGTTCTGCTTGGTTCCCCTCGCTTTCGATGTGCATGCTCATTTTTCGGGATAAAGCAAGCTCGCATACGAACAACAGTATGCCGGAACGACAGTCAAGCTCCTTTGTCTGAGCATAGGCCAGACAGAAGCCAAACTGACAGGACACGAATCACTATAACACATTTAGAATGAGTATATCGTGCCTGTAAATCAATCTTCTCTTTGTCGAAGCTTGATAAAATAGTTGCCAACAATAGGCGCACTAAGTTCAGCTTGAGCTGGGTGAGATGCACCTAATGTCCCGGAACCCAAAGCATCTGCGACTGGGCTCTCAAACCAGCAGAGTTTCATCTGGAACCTTGGCTGCAACCGCCTTTGCATCCTCAGCCTTTGCACCGGCGATCTGCGATTGCGGATCCGCGGTGATGGACCTGCCAATCACGGTGTCCAGGTCCAGGTTGACCTTTCCCTTCCGATTGGACCGCATCTGGCAGACCAACATGACCCCAAGTGTGCAGCAAGCACCGCATGCGGCAGCCACAACCAAAAGCACCCAGAAGGGCACTTGGCTGCCAGCCTGCTGCAACCAGTCGCTGCGCTCCACTGGACAGCTGCTGCTGTCCATGAACATGCCGGCCTCAAAGACGGAAAGCGCGCCTTGCTTTGCCTCTACCGTCAGCTCTAGCGTGGCAGATTCCGTGTTGCCACAAGCCAACACAGCAAAGTGCCAGTCCCTGATGTCGTGCACCTGAAACATGTTGACCACCAGCACCCCAACGTCCAAGTTGGTGACGGAGCTGGCCTTGAGCAGCTTCTCGGTGCACGAGCTGCTGTCCCAGCCTTGCGATGCCTCTCCCCATCGCTCTGCACGCCCATCAAAGCCTGCGAGAAAGACCGGCCCGTTGTCCGTCAGCCGCGTCTGCCCATGCCAGTGAGCCATGACAACCAGCTGGCCCACGCTCTCCCCGTCAGGTGCCATCCCAAAGCAGAAGCCCCCCAAGTGCCATGAGCTGTTGCTCGTCAAGGACACGGCCGCGCTCAAGGCAGGGTTGGCCTTCTGGAATTGGGCTGCGGTCTCCACCGACGCCAGAGCAAACAGCACGAGAGGCAGCGACATGGCTGGGCACCGAGCTACGATTGAATTCGCCCTGCTGGATATTCTGAGCCCTGTCTTAAGGCGGCAAATCTGACCAGCTGAGTACGTGTTGGATGCCCAACATGTCCTGCATGGCCACATGTTCAAACTCGCCCTTGACACCGACTTACTTTCTGGCAAGCAGAAACTATCTAAAACCAAGGTGCATCCACAGTTGCATCAGCAGCGGCTCAACTTGTCAATACTCATATGACTCGTATGCACATACGTCTTACCCCAAAACAGTAATAATGGGCTCGCATAAAGCAAGGTCGCGATGGGCCGAGTGGCAGCCAAGCCAATGACAGTGCCGCAGACCTGGAACAAGTGGTCTGTGTCCTGAGAGGCGAACAGCGCAAGGAGCCGTTTACTGTTTCCAAGTGAATCTGCAAGGGCGGAATCGAATCAAAGTAGCCACGGGCAGCCAAACTTGCAAGCGTTCATACGTGCGAGCGTTCATACGTGTTCCTTCAGCCAATGGCCTACACGTTGGCACTCCTTCCACTGAAAGCCAACTCGTGGTCACGCATGTCAAGCTTGGTGTCAAAATCAAACAGCGTACGGATCATATGGGCGTCGTTGCTGAGAACACCCTTTTTGACCAGAGGGAGCCTACAAGTACCCCCCCCCCCCCGGCGCATTTGTGGCATCCCAAGTTTGGCACCTTCGCGAGGCTTCGTTTCAAGATGGCGGCTTCGCGGGAGTGGAATCGAAATCGCCCGTGCCAAACCTCAGGGCCGCGCCGTTCGCGGCCCCGTTTGGGAGTTCCCCCTGAAGCGAAGATCCGCAACATCTGACAACATGTTATGCTTATGCGGCAATCAAATGAATCGATTTCACAGATCACAGCTTGGACATCTCAAATACTCAAATACTCAAATACTCAATGCGGGGTGCCCAATGGTCCTGCCACCATCCATGTAACACACATATTACACCGCCCAAGACAAATTCAAGGGAGGGACAGTCAGCAAAGTATTGCTGGCTCATGCTGACTAGCCAAAAGTGCAACACGACACATGATAAGCTTGGATGTTTCTTCCCGAAGTAGTCTGAGAATAATTTGACAAAGCTCCCTGGGAAATGCTGGGGGCGCCCTTTGTTACTCACACAACAAACAACCTTGGGCATCTTACTCATACCTGCAGCAATGACCCAAAAGGGACCCGGCCCCAGAAACGCCGGGGTGTTTTGGCACATGCATCGGATCGGATTCTGGAAGCTTTAAACCGAAGGGTGCCCCTGGCTGAAACTTGAATGCTTTCACGCCTTCTTGGGCACCGCCATGTTGCACATGTTCATGCCACTTGCTACCATCCACGGCGAGCAATGCCGAGGCAAGAACAGTTTACACCAAACATGCATGTCTTTTTGAGAGAATGTACGGGAAGAAACTGCACTATCTCTTGGGTTGCGCTATGTGAAGAGGATTGCCATAGTTATTTCTTTGTTGCGCTCGCTTCAAGCGCATACGTTGCAAACTGCTTGTATTACCCGCCCCCCAAACAACAAACATATCCCACACGTGGTAGGTGACAGCCTCCCCCTTTGCCAGGCATGTGTTTCCAGGACGACCGCCTTCACATTCAATATGTCATATGTCATTAGTTTTTGTTTGGTACGGAGAGGACCATGGCAGTGGAGTATTTGAGTCCCCACCTCTGTCTCCAGCATGGTCTGGCTGAACCAAGTGGTGTGCGAGTCGGGGTCATGGGTGAACATGCCGTAGGTCCTGGGCGAAAGGAGCTCTGTCAAGACATAGCAGTTCAAGGTGGATAGCAGGCGCTGCTCACAAGATTCCCAGGTGCCTTTTACCAAACAAACATGGAAATGGTACTACAGAACAACATTGATACGGTGTCCTTTCTTTTTGTTGTGATATGTTTCTTCTTTGGGGGGGGGGGGTCCTGACTTCACTAATTCATGATGCGTAGTGGGACACCACTACAAGAAGGGAACCAATACCGACAAAAATAATGGATTTTCATTTGCCTTAAGGGTACCGAGCCTCAGAAACACAGCTCCGCATTGCGTAGGGGATGGGGATCCGCTCTTTCAGCAGGGTCAAAGCAAACGGCACAACTTCCTTTGCGGTATGTGGGTAAAGGGGGGGATCTCCAGGGTCACACTGTGGGTAGAGCATAATGGGTGGGATATCCAGCATATTCTGTGAGATACATATAGGACAAATTGGATATATATATATATACATGTTTTATACCCAGCATAATATGTGAGCAAATGGCTTGGAATTGCGCCAGGGTCACACCGTGCCTTACGTGACCAACTCACACGCTGAGGAACTCATCGAAGAGCTGGCGGATGAGCACTTGGAAGAACTCCCGGCGCACGCCGCCTGCGCCCGCGCGCTCTGAAGGATGCAACAGCTCGAAGGTTGGGGGAAGGTGAGGGGAAGGGGGATCTAGAACCTCCCAAGGAACAAAGATGTTGTTGGGTATCTAAATCTCAGTTACATTGGTGAAGTTCATGTTCGCAAACTAATGTATATATATATATATATATGTGATTCCTGAGATTCTGCGTCTCAAGAAGTCTTCAAGCAAATGGATCACAACATCTATACATCTGAAAAACATGCAAAACGCGCGGGTCCGAAACCATCGCGGAACCATATGTGATATATATATATATAGACAATATACATATGACGACAGCCGTTACGTGTTTGACGCATTCTCAGAAATACCTCTCAGACAGGCCATCCTCTGCGAAAAAGAAGCTATGTAGATTGGAAAACCTGGTCCAACGTTGCTGTACACTAGCTCAAAACCAGTTCCCCGCATTGGGAACAGGGCTCATCTTGACGGTCCATCATCGATAAAGTAGAGGAAATGAGGACTTTGAGTCAAATGCTGGGTTGTGAATCAGGTGTCTAGATATCTGCGAGATTGGTTGGAAATCTACAGTTTTCAGAGTATTCATTGCTTTGTCGTAGTAGAATTCAATGCACAAACAGAGCTGGACGGGTCCTTTCTCTAATTTGTTGGAATAAGAAGCTGCCAAGGCCAGCGCACCCGACACATGATTGCAGACCCATGTCCATCTCTCCTATTCCAACATAATTTCGCCCTCTTGACACATAACCTGCCCCCCCTACCAAGCAACAAGCACAGGGGCTGACAAACAGAAAAGAAAGGGCAGTTGTTGTCATAACAGGCACCTGCCTGGTACAAGTTCAAAGGGTATGCCACTAAGAGCTCCCGCCTGAAATCCAAGGGTCCATGCGTATGCGGGTCTAAACATGCATGTAATTATGACTTGTAGGATGAACCACCCGGCGCCGCCATAAATATACCTCCCATCAACATCACTTCTGTATGGAGCTTCATATTTGCCCCAAGAGGAAAGTCATTAGGTTCCCAACCTTCGCGTGTGGGCAACATCGGTGATGTGTGCAGGCTCCAATAAGAATGGACACATCCCAAACAAATGGGTCTGTCCGGTCTGTCTCCACGTGGAAACCTGTTTCGGATGGTTAATAGTTAATGATTGTAATTTTAGAGATACACCAAGAGGAAGCCAACCCCAGGTGGGTCCAAAGCTTTATTGTGCACAAAGGAACTTAACGTAAGCCCAAGAAGTACTCCCGGCGCCGGAACGCGCCCAGAACCTGCTCGCAACATTCAGCTGACGTGCGAGCAGCCAATTGGACTGTTGGACGGTTGGACAGTTGACCCCTCCCTTTCGGCCTTCGTCTTGACCATCCTCCCCGGTGAACTTCACCTGAAGCGCCATCCCTCTCGTCCATGGTGGCAGGAACTGATCAAGTACTGCACGCATTTCATGTTTCGAAACTCTACAGATAATGGGATTGCAGCAACCACAGAATGATCAAGACAAGGACAACGTTCGCCAACTGACAAAAAACATGCTAAACTATCATTTGCTACAGTGAAGAGTCAATGATATCAGCAAACACACTCACCTTCCCTTGGTCTCACCGATTGAACGAAAAGGCAATTCACAGAACCCCCAAAAAGGCATGCACGTCCCACAAAGCCTGTACCGCTGGTTCGTACTTGCCTGTTCTCCCCTGGCATACCGAACGAGTCCCGAACAAAAATCATGTATTCCCCAAAACGTGTGAAATTCGTTGGGCCAGCCCCCGTTGCAGGAAATTCCCGTGGCCAGCCCACCCCCGAGAGAGCCTGGCGACCCAGCTCAAGCACCAATGAACCTACAACAGATACCCAGGTGAACATGTTCGTTGTTCATCTGATTCATCTGCTGCCCCTTGCCAGAGCAAGAAGGGAGACCTAGTCGCCAGAGTAGGGCTACATGCATAACAAGCCCAGTGGTTCCATTTCCCTGTATAGTAGGCAACGAAGGGAACCACCCTTAAACACCAAAAGGACAATAGCCGGTTAACTACTAGGGAAACAGGGATCCACTGGGCAGGGTTACCCCCACGCAATCACCTCAACTGGGCTGCTCTCAGATCCCCTGCTAAAAGTTTAACTTTTAATCGGTCAACTGGAAATCCCAACCAAACCCTAAAAAGCTAAGAAGCTAAGGAGATGGCTGGAAGCCAAGTCAACCAGACCCTGTCCTTTTCGGCCTGAGCGACCGGCGGAAATCCCGGCGCCTTCAGCGGCAAATGCAGCGCCGCCGCGTCCACCTGCCGCAGGAACCGCGCGGTGTCCTCCACGATGTTCTCGCGGCCTCGGCTGGACTGGAGGGCTGGACGACCGAAACCACCGGCTGAGGGGGATGGAAGATTAAACCAAAAGGAACACCGAATGAAAGAAAGGGAAACCAAAAGGAACCTTAGGGGAGGGGCTCGTTTTCAGGGGCCTTCAAAGGAAGCCAAAGAGAAACTATCCAGTTTCGGGGTTGCCCTAAGTCAATTCTTCACAAAGGAAATCCACAGACACCACTTGGTGCTGGTTGGGACAAGCCAGACTGCATTTGACTGACACACACACACACACACACACACACACACACACACACACACACACACACACACACACACACACACGCACCAACATCCCCCTGAGGGCCCGAGGGCCTTGCTGACCTCCGCCATGACAAAGGGCCGAACGTCCTGACACATGGACTCTGCCACAAAGGTGCCGTGGAGCCCACGGAAATACATGAAAAAGAGGTTACGCTGGATTGGGCCCTCGGAAGCTTCACGGGGATCTGTCCAAAGCACTCCAGCAGGTGGCTGTTCAAAAGTCCCAGAAGAGGACTCTTGCTGAAATTAATTATGGTCCATTACTGCTCCCAACCTCAAAGCGTCCATGATTCTGAATGGGAACCTGTCACAAACGGTTGGCGAGCAAAGCTCCCCTATGGACACGATGCCGACCAAAGGGCCCCCCAGAAAAAAAGAGCGCCATCTCCGATGTTGAATGAATAGACATAATGTCATCGTTGAGGTCCCTCCAAACGGAACTAGCAATTTGGAGGCCGCTGCCGGGCCTGACAAAAGCCCCAAGAAAGGTTCCAACCAGCACCTCCAACGACAGCTTCTTCTCCAAAGCCTCACTTGGCCAAGCAGTCCTTGTGGACTGCCGAAATTAAAGCGCCTTGTGGTCATGATTAGGCTTAGGCCCAGTTAGAGAATGTATATTCTACTGTTTAGTTCCCTTTGAGTCACTGGGAAAATGTAAAAATATATCCTAAGTCTAGCCCAGTGGTTTCCCTAAACCCTCCGACAGTCCAATAGAGCTTGGGTGCTGTGAGAGCTCCCAGGGACCCCAGTGCGCCTGACCAGAGAGCATCGCCAAGATCTGGTGGGGCCCAGTGGCGCGATCCTGGCGGATTGAAGGTGGACGTGTCCCCCCTCCCCCAAACAAAAAAAAACGGGAACCCAATCAGGCGGGTTGGTGTTCCTTTGGTTTCCGGTTTGGTTTTCGGCGGCCTTTCTTGCCGGCTCCCCTTTTGGTCTTCTTTGAACATGGGTTTCCTGTCTGTTTGCCTTTGCCTCCTTCAAAGCTATCCAACAAAGTGATTCAGTGATTCCCTACTCATGGCGACGCCCAGAATTGGCAAGAGGATCCCTCCGCTTTGGGAGGCAAGTCACACGCTCTCTTCCCTCGGAACAGATCCGGCTGGCCGCCCCTTCCTGCAGCGAGCGCTGCATCAGTGTGTTGGACACCTGTCCGGCTGGTGGTCGTCCAGGCATTTCGCAGGCCAAACAAAAATATAACTTGGGTGACCCGTCAAATGAGTTTTAACAAATGGTCTTCTTTCGGATGCTGCACACATGATTGTCCTTTGGTGCAAGCTGGAACCGGTTTATTCGAACCCATCTCACCCCTGAGTAACGGACCCCAACAATCAACTCTCCAGGAAGTAGTTGCGATATCGACTCGAAGAGTGAGTTACAAGCTGCTTTAGTCTAACCGCAGCAAGGCAATCATTTGAATCAAATGTCCGTACAGTTTCAGGCACGATGAGTGACCTGACCAGTGCCTGGCGTTTCTCATCAACCGAGCTCCGACTTCAGTCTTTCGGCCAGCACATTGGCCAGCATGTACATCGGGGTGAACGCCTCCTAAGGTTGCCTGAACTGCATTTTACAATTGCAAAGCAGCTGTGTTCGGGGCTTTGTCGCAGTTAAATGATGAGAGCTTGCAGATTTCCTGAAAGGACCGCTCCCACCAAGGGGCTGAGTAGTTCTACTCACATCTTCGTATGACTTCCTTGCCCGGCTCCCTCGGGATCGGATCAGAAACCCACCTGAAGAACCCGGTCAGGGGGATTCCCCGAGAAGGGAAGTTGTCGCCTTTGTCACAAAGGGCGTTGGGTCAATGCGGATCCGGCGGCTCTCCAGCCACCGGGGTGCTGGAAAGCCACGCCTGCAGCACCTTCTGCTTGAATGCCACCGGCACCAGGTTCCGGTGCACCAGCAGCACGCAACAGGCCGGCCTGCGCCGAGAATGGCTGAACGGGCGATGAGAAGAAACCGGTCAAAGTTAGCGCAACCAAGAGGCTCACTTGCCCAAAGGACCGGAAATACAAGGGAAATACAAAGTTAACTCCCTGTGGAAGCTTGACGAAATGTGGACCAAATCATAGTGTTTCGACCCCTGCATGCGCTGGAAATTCGTCAGCTGCTTGTTGCAGCCCGAATCCTCTGCTAAACTGCTTGCTGTATATGCGGCGGAGGCTCCCTTCACAGAAAGCTGGCTGGGTGGGAGGGTACCCATTTCTTCTGGCTTCACTTGACTTGAAAGGAATCAAGCTCTCTGCCGCCTTTTCCAGATGTCCAGCACTTTTCAAGTCCGGCTGTACTGTTGGCAAAGGAGTGCAAGCTGAGGGGAATTTGGAATTTGCTCTGTCCTTCCTACGCCGAACGCGTCAATGCTACAGGGACCATGACCCGAAGCCTGTTGGACTCAGAGTGGGTGAGCCAGAAAATCCAGCCTGGTATGGGAAAATCCCAGTGTTCAACTAAAAGATCCAAGGGAACTTTTTGTGTTAATCCCGGTAACTCAGCTCTGCTGTGCCGTGGCACCAGCCACTTGGGCCCCCTGCGGTAGCCAGGTCGTGTCCGGATTGGCCACGGAGTCCTGTGGGTTGGGCCAAGGTTTGTCTCCAACTTGGGGAAACCCTCCGGTGGGTTGGTGTTTGGTGTCATTGAAAGACGCATCTCCGAAACAGACCTCCTATAAAATGGATCGCCTCTTGTGAGTTGGCTGGCTTTGGGACTCACGAAATGCGGATGGACGAACTCTATTTCGCACCGTTCGGAAACCCTGGTTGCGGATGATTTCCCCTATAAATAGCAACAAACGCTCATGGGTTTCAACCTATGGTGTCATTCCGTGCAATCATCCAGGCCATGATGGACGAAATCTTGCACATGAAGCCCTGCAGTTCGATTCCCCAGTGGTTTCAACATCTGTTTCGACCATGGTTTCATGCGTTTTATCCGAAACCCCGCAACCATCCACAGGTTCCATAGCTTCACCCAGATTCTTTCATAGTTTTTGGAGATCTTGGGTGGTGAAACCTTGAAACGCATGAAACCATGCTTGAAACCATGAGCTTTTGTTGCTATTTATATGGGAAATCATCCGCAACCAGGGTTTCTGAACGGTGGTGCGAAACGGATTTCGCAACCACCCACGAAATCTGGCGAAGTCCTTTCCGAAGGCCACCTCTGAGGGCGATGGCAAGGACTGGGCCTCGAAGCGCCACCAGAAACCGGTGGAGGACCGCCCGAAACCGAGACCCGGGTAGCACCTCCGTTGTTCATGCGATTTTCCTTTTTGGGAGCCTGTATTTTTGCTTGAGGCTGGGCAAACCACCCAAAATCTGTGGAACGAGAAAAGAAACGGAGCCCCCCTTGCGAGGTCAATGTATAAATAGCTGATCTGACTCCCACAAGGCGTCAGACTTGTCCCGTTTCAACTCGACTCGACATTATTTCGACTCAAGCAAGCTGTCCTCAACCAGAGATGTGGATAGTCGTAGCTGCAATCAATGGATATACTGACATACTTGTTTGCAGTTTGTCGGCTAGGGCTAGGTGAAGCATTTGGAGGCCCACTCATCCTCAATTACAACAACCCAACAAGGACAAGCATCGTGAACCAAAAGGTTTCATGTTTGGTACTCATGTCACGGAAATCTGGCCCCAACATATCCTCTGACAGGAATTCCAACAGGACGTGGACGGTCCTGGGGTTCATTTCGGGTGATGTTGGGTGATTTGGCTCATGTGTCAACATGTTGACTGCTTCAAGTTGGAGACGACGTTGAAGTTGAAACAGGTTCTCCTGAAGAGTCAATCAATGCCCGTTGAGACTCCGAAACTTGAGATCCCAACGGTTCGACTCTGAAGCCTAGCAATCTGCTTGCGTTCCCAGGCCAGCAACAGCCAAGTCAAGGTCCAAAACACACAGACTGCAGCTTTTCATGAGGCAGCTGCGACAAACGGGCGCCTTTCTGAAGCGACAATCCCTGTCAGCATGAAGCGGACCCACCATGGCCCCTGTCGGTTTCGACTTCATTTCGTGGATGCCCGCGATAGGATCAAACATCAGGGGAGTCCAACTGGATGACTCCCAGCGATTCTGAACTAAAAGTCAGCATGCACAAGCCTTTGAGCAGCAAGGCAAATGATTGGAGCTCGGGTACCTCGAGCTTTCAGGGGAAATTGGTCCAAGGGTCCCTCCGGAGAATGTGCACGGAACACGTTGGCTTAGGCCGTCGCAGAGGGGGAGACCACGCCCATGCCCAAGCCGGACACTTGCGTGAGCTGTTGAAACGCCACCATAGGTGGGATGGTCTCCTCCTGAGAAGGCAAAGCACAAAATGCTTGAAACGGGTTAATTGTTGATCCATCAAACTGGTAGATCAGGGGAATCAACAGGTGCTTCATTAACCAGGGCTTCCCATTGCGACTAGCTGAATCCCTGCAAACAAGAAGGAACTTCCATCAAACACCTGGCTCGCTCCAAGGCTCACAGCCAAACCAAGGACCTTGATGCCCACATGGCCTTTGGCAAAGTACTAGACATCTCGCAACGCGGACCCGCGAGTTGACGCTGAGTTGACAGTGCGATCCTGAAGCCGCAAATATCAATTGAGACGTCTTGACATATGGAACATCCTGGGGCTGCAGCCCATAAGCCCTGGCTGTCAGCCAGCCCTCAACCAAGCTTCCGTGAACGGAGTAACAACGAGAACAAGCGAGCAGACCCGGATGTCCAAAAAAGCTCGTCTCATTCTCAGCCACCAACAAGGATCCCTTGGTTGCCAGGGGCTCGTTCCCATATGGGCTTGTCTCGAAATCGAGGATCACCCCCAGACTGAGAACGGCTTGCCTCTGACCTTCAGCCATACGGAGGCTCCACCCAAAATAAGAAGCCCAGGTTCCCGCAAAAAAACACCGCGGGCTAAGGCTCCACGACCCGAACGAATTGCGGCCGAGTGACGTCCAGCGACGTCATCTGGAAGTCCTCGGAGAATATCCACACCCATCGCCACGAGTTGGGATTGGTTGGGTCCACCTCCAGACCTTTCATGTTGAACTCGGATTAATCCACCCCGGTTTATTAACATGGGGGTGTTCCCCTCCAGTGATGAATCCCCACTAAAACCAGGGACACCCCCATATTAATAAACAGGGGTTTATCAATCCGAGGTCAACATTAGTCGTTTCAAAGGGTTGTTCCCTTGATGCCAATTTTGCCCGTACCCTGCCTCTGGCCCCAGGAATCGGCTGCGCAGCCCAGAAGCATCACTGCTCAAGTTCTGCAGCCTGAGGTTGGATGAGTCGGGGTGATCTGGTGTGTTGATATCCCTATACATATATATATACTATATATATATATATATATATGTGTACATGTGTATATATATATATATATATCAATGCCCGACAATACTGTGGGTGGAACAAATTCTGCACCATCTGAGAAATCCTGGAGGGATGATTCCCCTGTAAATACCAACAAATGATGGTTTCCTGTGGATTCAAAGTGGTGCAGGATTTGGTGCATCCACAGTATGACCTGAAATCGATGCCTGCAAACCCCCTGGCCACCCAAAACCGACACCCGAGTGATACTATCCGTCGCTCATGTGTTTATACACCATTGATGTACCATGATGTACCCACCATGTGTTTGCGTGGAGTATTGTAGTGGCACCTACCCAGGCGCACGTGGTTGGGCCGTGGAATGGGGGTGGCCAACAAAGCACGATTGGCCCTTCTAAGCGGAGGCTGTCGCAAATCTACCCACCAGACTCAACTACCGGTCTTTCCAAAATTGGAGCCCACTAAAAATTGGAATTGGACCCTCTGAACGGGCATTCGAGCCCTCAAACTAACTTGGGCCTACGCAAAATCCTCCCTTCAAAAGGCTCCCAAACCTTAGGAACAACATGGTTTTGGCGCAACAGCGATTCCAGCTCAAGGGTCGGAACTTTGTTTGAAGAGGAAATGGGCCCAAGCAAGTTCGTCAAAACTATCCCACAAAATAGGATCCTGCTGCAGGCAACGACTGGCGAACCCATTGTTCCTGGGCAACATCGGGCTTCAACACAAGCTCCGGCTTTGTGCTGGCCTGACAATAAATGAAATAACAAAGGGATCCATACCTTTGCCACATCAACCAAATGGCTCTGCTTTTTTCAGTTGGCTTCCTAGCCAGCCAAGCAATGCTCTCTGAAAGTGAGCCAAAAGGCATACTACGTTTAGATTTTTTTTGCGCCAAATTCGGAGGAGAACTCCCGGCTCATACAATCTGTTGCTACGAGGCACCACTCCCGGTAGAGCGATTGCCCCGAATAAATTGCCAGCTATGCCTACATGCAAAACGGCCCCTGTTTAGGGAAGGGGGTTTGGTGAGCAAGGGCATGGGATGGAAATCTGTGCGACACTGTTTATATGGCTGTGGCTCAAAAACATGTACCAAAATGGCACCTGGGTAAATGGATCCAAAGACTAAAACCCGCGTAACCCCAGCTCTCTAATTTTGAGCCACACCCATATAGGTTTTTCCTGGAACCCCCCTCACTTGTCCGTCCCTTGACCCAACCAAATCACCGGCCGGGTCCCGAACTCTGCACGCTGGTCCTCCCGTAGCTGCTCGTTGGCCAGAAACAAGAGCTGCATCAGCAGCGCCGCGTGCCAAAGGCCTCAGCGAATTCTCGAGTGAACTGGCCGGTCTCTCAAGGTCATGGCTCTGAGAGGAACTTTGCAAACAGGACAAGGAATTTCTATACAAGAGGTCGATTGGCACACTGGTCTGTTGAAAAGGGTCTTCCCAAAAAGTGAGCAAAGTAGAGGAACTCAGGGAGTGAGTATTGGCACCCTGTTTCCAACAGTCAATACTCAGAATCTCGATTTGGAGAAGCCCCCTCTTTCTGCCAATCCGAATCTCCAGCACTCAATCATGCGCTTCCGTGGGGTACTTTCTTCCCACACTATGGAAGCAGACAAGGTGGCAAGGTTCAAATTTGAAAATAGGTCCAGAACCCTCGTGTTGGCTTCCATGTTTGTTGGAGAAAGGGTTGGGTTCGTTCAAGTGATATCTTTAAAAGGACACTCTAAAACTGAGTTCACGGACTTCGCCTGGCCCTTTGCAAAGGAATTATCCTTCATGGTCACATGGCCGTTGACAGACCATGTTGAGCACTCTAAAGGGTGTTGAGAGTAATCTTCGCTAGGGCTTTGCCTGGAAAAGATGGGTGTGGCTCTGTTTTGTGCCTTGGTACCCTTTCTGGGGTTGTTTGACGGGGAATCCAGCAGAAACCACCTATATAGGGGGTCCTGTCTTGAGATCCAAAGCGCAACCAGAATGGGCTTCAGCTTCCCCACAAATGCAACCTCAGGGGGACAAAGGGGACTGTTTGCCATGATGCAAGAAGCCAATCACTAATCATTGCCCTCTCCAGCACTGACAAATAAACGACACAACGAATAACCAACGGAACTCCATTTCACTTTCCAATTTCAGTTCTGTTGACCAAACAGCACGGCCTACAGGAGACGGCCGGAGAGGGCCGGGGAGGTCTGGCTTTAGAAGGACCCCCAGCGTACTCCCAGCATGTGGGCTTTCGCTGCCGACCTTGGGCGACTGATCAGGGGTAAACAATCATTAAAACAGTTAGGGCTTCATCAAGGGGGAAAGTCAGGGGTAGTCCGGGGTTAAGCAGGGGCTTCTAAATCGCAGTTCATTTCAACAGGGGGTTCCCTAGTGGACAAAATCCTAAACCAGGTGGTATGGATGAAACCCCATCAACAATGACTGCTTGCAAAAACAAATCCAAACTACCGGGCGTTGAAGCTGTTCAGTATTTCCCAGCGGGATGCAGCCCAGGTGCCGGGATCATCTAGGGCTTTTCTGGAGGACACCGTGCGCACCCGCTCATTCAAGAAGAGGCGCACCGCAGGCCTCGGTTCTTTGTTTCTTTGCTGAGTCCCAGGTGCTTGGAATTGACCAGCCCGCCGTAGGTGAAGAGGGCTCTATGTGTATGTTTCCTTTCAAGAACTCGCAATGCCGCAAATGGCGCGGGTCGCGCTCCAATCAGTAGCTGTGGATTTCCCCACTCGCACTTTTGTGCTGGGAGCCGTCGTCATCGGTCCCAAGCGCATGATACAGACACAAAGTTCATGACAGCGAGCTTAGCTTTCAACCATTGTTCAAATTTTCGAGGATTCACTACCACGCCACACCAAACCCCTAGACCATACTCCCGCGAGAAAAACTCAATCAGGGGAAAAAGGGAGATGTGTCTAGTGTGGGGTTCGTCCAGGGTGCCGCGGGAGGGAAATCTTTGCGATATATGTTTCCCACTGTGCGGGCCCGGGCACACCACCGCCTTCTTCAGGATGAAGGCTTGGGGCATTTCCGCCACCAGCAAGTCCATCAACACGCCTGCCGTCAAACTGGACATGATGGAGCCCCAAACTCAGCGGCTTCCTTTTGGAGTCCCCTCCAAAAAAGCAACATGACTCGAAAAGTTCCAGGAATCATGCGTATAAGCACTTTGATGCATTGCAGGTTGACGAAGCTTGTGTGGAAAGCTGATGCTTCGCGGCTGGGAGGTACTCTTTTGCACTGTGAACTGAGCTTCTTGGACCCCGGCTGCTTTTGCCGTGTGTCCTTTGGCTTCATTTTGTGAAAATGACAGAAATGTCCTTCCTCCCACAAACATAGCATCTGAGGGAGGGTATCTGAAAGATCAGCTGCCTCTTTGGTGCTATGGGCTATTTGGGTGTCCCTTTCTGCGATGGTCTTGGGAAACCTTTCAAAACTCAAGCCCAGTTCAGAGGGTCCAAAACCCAATTTTGACGAAAACCGAGGGGAAACCGCCCATTTAACTCAGTTGTTCAGTGACCCTGGGAAAAAATGGGAACCCTTTTTTGGGAAGACCATTTTAGTGGGGCAGCCACCAAAAAAAATGGAAAAAGCGAGCCACTGAACAACTGAGTTAAGGTCCCCAATTTGGGTCCCACGTCGCAAAGCCCCGCCCGCCCGCCAGTCCGAGGGACGGCGGTCCGCTGGGCGCATCATGGCCACGGCGAGGGCCAGGTGCGATAGGATGGCGTGGCGTCGGTTCTGCACCTCGCTGGCTTGGTGCGTTTATGTATACTGGGCTGCCCGTTTTCTGATCCCCCCGCGAAAGGTTGAGAACTGTTAGTGGGTTAAATGGAAACTACCACTAAACACTAAAAGGCTAAAAAGCTAAGGGGATGGCTGGGAGCCACCAAGTACATACATATATATATATATATATGCTTTTCCTATGTGTTTGTTTGTGTGTGTATGTTTTGTTTTTGGGGGGGTCAGTTATTTTTGGCCCGATGGGGGTTGTATGGCTTTGGGGGCGAGTTGGTAGGAGCAGTTTACTTCAGTCAGAGAAAATACTTGTGCTTCTTGGCTGTGTTGAAAAGACACTGTTGGGTTTTGTGCGTCAGGCGTGGGACGGTCAATTATCACACCGTTTTAAGTTTATAATGATAAACGGCTTCCCGGATCCAAAAACCTGCAGGTCTCTTCCTGAAGGATTTCAGGGGGAAAGGGTTGTAATCGCCCTGACCTTTAAGAAGCGCAACTTTTGTCTGGACAGTGCGTTACAGCAGGGGTGTTGCATTGAGTTCGAAATGACATGTTCATGTCTACTGCCCTGTAAGCGCTCAGACCTTTAAGAAGCGCTGCTTTTGTCTGGCCAGTGTATGGAAGGAGTTTTCACAACCAACGCAAGAGTCTGCATTTTCACATGGAGCCCAAACACGGGGTTCGTTTCGTACATGTTTGTCTGAGGGGGAGAAAGCAAAACAAGGCTCAGTTCTGATTGAACATGAGAACGCAAAAAGTCAATGGCGAGAAGCGATTGCAATGTATATAAATGAAGCACATCAGGGAGAATTGAAGACTGGGGATGAGGGCCTGGTTGGTTCCGTGCCCAAAAAAGGCATGGTTAGATATATGGCTTCGTTCGGTGGGAAACTGTTTATATTGGCTCGGAGTTCGGGGATCTAAAGCAATCCCGGATGTGGAGGAGCCTAGGTACCTGTGCCCTAGGAACCCATTGGCAAACAGTACCTAGGGCCCAGGGCCCTCCTATGAGGACGACCTAAGTGGTAGGACCGGGGTGGTGGCGTGCTTTCAAGCGGAAGCTGCAGTGCTGTGAGCGGAGGAAAAACCATTGGGCCCGATGATTCCCAGCAACCGTGCGTTTCTCCAAATACAGGAGGTGTTGGTCTCTTTCAGGTGTCCTATGAAAGCACCCCAAAAAGGGGAATGCCATCGACAGAGAAGATTTGTCCTTTTTGAACTTGGCAATACCTCCTGGCCTGATTCAGTTTTACAAACCAGCTGCCGAGGCGCAAATTTCGTGTTCCGCAACTGCGGGAGCAAGAGGTAGATCCTCGTGTCAGGATGCATTTTGTCTATGATTTTGATATTCAATTAATGCTGCAACGGAAATCAAACAACACATCCGTTTCAGAGGTTCTCGCGATATAGAGACAAACCTGCTGCGCTATGCTGTGAGCCGCGTCAAAACCGGAGTGTCACGGACCTGATCATGTCCTCACAGAATTGATAATGTATTCTTGTGGTGCCCTCTTGAAACCCATCATAAACAACACCCCCCAATTCTGCGCAGTAAAGTGGAACAAGGAGTTCGCTGCTCAAGTGAGCCTTTTGCGGGGAGAACACCAGCTGCCAAGTGCGCCACCACAGACAAGGAGTCCTTTTCTTGTTTGCTTCCCCTCTTCCTCTAGGCACTCGCTGTCTGGAACAGCTGCTTTCACAAACAAACGTTCCGGAAGGGTTTCACGAGGGTCGCTGGGACGCGGCTCCGAGAAGGTCCGAGGAGGGTTCCGAGGAGGGTTGCCGCGGACCAGCGCGGAGCCGGAGATCTGGGCTGAGACCTCATTTCATCTGTTGAGGACCAAAAAGCACACAAGGTCCTTTCAGGTCGATTCGGTTTGGTTGCACTGCTTGTTGATCCCCTGGCGCCTGCAGGCGCCCACGAAGACCAATAGGGAAACCAGAGAAAAAAGTGAGTTGGGCCAATCCCAAGTGACCCCAAAACCCAAAAGCCGCGCGTCAGAAGGCCCCGCAGCTGTTCCCGGCTTCGGGGGCAGCTGCGCACCTCTCGAGCGACGAAATCCGCGATTTTTGTCGCACCGGTCAGAAACCCGTCTGATTCGATTTACCTGATAAATACCGAGAAACAACCTATAGATAGCCAAGTTGCTGCTTTCTTCAGTCACTGTTGCCGGTTTTGGGCGGAACGTGCATGGAAAAAAGCAGCAGCTGGCGATCCAGGAAGGGTTGCAACACTGGATTCCAAGTGATGCGAATGGATTTCGTTCATCCATGGTATGCCCATGAAATTGAATGAGGAACCACTCGCAATCGCAGATGGTTGTTGTCCTTTTAGCTTGCCTTCAAACCAACCCGGAAATGGGTACCCTAAAGAAAATGCACATCCAAACGGCTATGAATTTTAGAAGGGAGCCACCTCCCAAATGGACGTAAATGCCCACTGAATTCTGATGTCCAGAGGGTGTTTTCAAGGGAAACCAAAGGAAAACACCCGTTTTGGGGTGGTGTGATATTGAGAGACACAGCCACATGTTTTTCTTTGTCTGACTCAGGAGTTATTCGTAACGCCGCTAAGCTACAAGGGTGTCTGACACGTACAAAGCAGGCACACGCCTAGGTTACATGTGAGCTTTTCGGCCTACGTTGTTCTTGCCGCGTCATGTGTGCAAACATGTTCCGCACAGCGGGCCGATGCTCTTTGGAATGTCAAAGCCTGAACAACAAATTGGACTGATAGACATCGCCTGAGTCCTACATAGAATGATGGACTCCCCCCAAAGCTTGTCGACACCAGCGAATCCGGCAGTGCAAAGTATTCGCTTCCGCAGTGGGCTATCTTTTGTGACACTGAACTTGGAGCACGCAACAGGTTGAGTATTGAAACGCATCTACTTCTGGTCTTGCCACAATGATAACACTTCATGTTAGCCAAGATTGCAATTCGATGAAACAGGACCCAAGCTCAAACGGTCTGCGTCGGCTTATCTGGGCAGGTGGATCCAAAAGCATGTTCACACAAAATTCGTTGCAGAAACCACCCAAATTCCTTGGATGGTGGGCCATTCCCGAAAAGAAGGCTCCCCGGAATTAACCTCACTAACCTGAACTCAAGCACCCAAAGAACCCGCAATTAAACCTTTGCGAGATCGCCGTCAATTGCCCTGAATGGGTTGGAAGTACCTTTGGACCGTGGTCAGGGCCCGCAACCAAGAATGAACTGGCAACATCGATACGCGCCTACTGTAGAACAAATGTAGACTGTGGGGTATTGGGTTGCCACTTTCCGTGGAGGTAAATACATCCAAATTTCACAATGCAATTGTCGCATGAACTGCCTGTGTTTATCACAGAAAGGGCTAGTTGCAATAGCCATTCCGTGGGTGTCTCAAAATCGACCCCTCCAAAATGGTTGGTCTCCTTTGGGTTTCCCTTCGGACCAACACCAAAGAGGGCACCAACTCCAAAACGGAGCCACTCCCCGAACCGAACCGATCCCCCGCAGCCGCATCCGTCCGTTGCCATGGCCCGCGCCTCTTTGGCAGTGAACTCCTTGAGCCCCGCCTCCGCTGCATCCAGGACCTATCCGAAATCGATCGGCCGGGATGGATGGATGGATGAAACCTTGGTGGAGTAAACCGCCATCCATCCGTCCGTCCATCCGTCCGTCCGTCCGTCCGTCCATCCATCCATGCACCTTAGTGGGATTGATGATCGATGGATGGATAGGATCAACATGGATAAACCACCTATCCCAACTGGTGCGAAGCGGATTCCCTATCAATGGGTCATCAGTGGATGTCTGGGGCACGTAAGGATGCCAGGGAAATAAGGCGTGTGTGATTCCCTTGACACATTTGTTGTATTTTGTTCAGCTTGTCAAAGAGGTTCCAAAGACATAACGGGCCAGGTTCTAATTTTCACAACACCCCGAAATTAAATCAACGGGCCTAGCAAGTAGGTTAGGATTCTATGTTTCAAGGGGACAAAGCCCAGTATGGTGATTACCTTCTTGCTAAATGGCATGCACCTGCGCAAACAGATCGGGGGCCCATCAAGCAGCCATGTGTCACAGCGGCTTCTGAGGATTTCTGCCGCTTGACTTGGGAAAATCTTCCGAGAAAACCAGGGCCTCTTCATAGCTGCACGCCCTAGGCCACAGGCAATCTGATTCGTCAATCAGTTCCCTGGCCTGGGTTTTAGCAATCTTCCCATTGTCAAAGACAAACAACAAGTGGCTTAAACGGCTGGAGTTTTTGGGGCTCACCGTCTCTCACTCCAAAACCCTGCCGTTGTGAAAAACAACCCTCGTGATACCAAAGTGCTTGACTCCCGGTACTCTAACCGTCTTGGAGGTTCAGCCCTGGTACAGAAAGTGGCAACCAACAAACGCCCCTTTTCCCGAGCGTAGAAACATATTGTTCAGCCTTAACTCCCCCCTCCCTGACCTGAAGACGGGGCGCAGTCTGCCCCGTTTGGTGCCCCGAAGCGCCCTCCCCGAACCGTCGGCTCGACGGTCCCCGGCCGCGTCGTGGACCTCCAAAGGCGCCTCTGACATCAACTCCAGCGCCTGGTGCAGCGCCTGGAGAAACAGCCCGACAGGTAGAGCGGGGGCTTGAAGACAGGTCCACAAGCTTGCCCACTGTGGATGGACAAAATCCATTTCGCACCACGTGGAAACATGGGAAACCATTGTTCGTTGATACTTACAGGGGAATCATCATTTTTTGGGCTTCTTGGGTGGTGCAGGATTTCGTCCATCCACAGTATTCACAGGTAACGGAAAGCGCAGGGATGGCTGACAACGGACACTTGGCATTTGTTAAACACCTTGTTCATCCCTATGTAAAATGTTAGAGTGCTTTTGCTTTGGGAGACGCCCGCCCGCCCAATGAATTCAGCTGGACTTTGCCACGAGACTGCGAGGAATTATGCTGCCGCCACCCCAACTCCAGCAGCAAGCTGAAATGGCATGATGCGCTCAAGCGCAGGGCATCCGTTTTTGGAATTAATATATATATATATATATATATACATGCCTGAGTCTGCCTCCCCTAGGGGTCGTCAAGAATGAATCTGACCTGCGCGAAATCTCTCGAGATAAGATACACAGAGTTGAAGTCCCTCTGACTGGCCCAGTGGTCAGATGTCAAGTGCAAACCAGAGCTTCACCACCGCCGAAACCCACCACCAAACCTGAGTGGCTGTGGCTCACAAAACCGGTACCAAAATCAACCCTGGTAAGTGAAAACATGGACCAAAACCTGCGTAACCCCTCCTGTTTAATTCTGAGCCACAGCCAAGTGTGTGTTCCACTGTTCCATTGGGCGCCGCAGACTCCGGTTGGGGGACCTCTGACTGAGATTTCCAGGTTCATTTGCAGGAGAGTAGTCACAAGAAAAAGAAGACAAATGAAGGACACGTATAAAACCTGTGAAAATGCGGTAAACATAAGCTTGTAAAAAGTTATAGGCATAAACACCAAAAAACCTGTCAAGGGTCATTACAACAAAAAGACACCCTTTTGCAAAACCGGCCAAGGACCCAACGCAACGGCCAATGGCCTCGCTGTCCAGATGCGGCCCTGGCATGCCCACGAAGTGGAAGGAGGCATTCAGCACCTGACAAGGCGCGACCGGAGAGTGTGGCTAGGGTGGCTTTACTTAACGGTATCGCTTCGAGTACTTTGCTTGTTGGGTGCTGGGATGGGACTAGTTGTGGCCACGTTCAAATACTTTACTCAGTTGTGTCTCTGAGGGCAAGGGACCCTTTTGCCCAAAGTCGGATTTCCAATGGCCCGATCTGCAGGGTCCAAAAGTGTCCAACCAGAAATACAGCTGAGGCTCTTGCCCGCGAATGGTCCGATACCATGGCATGGAAGGAACCCTGTATTTGCGCATTCAAAAGTGTCACAAGCGTAGTGCATACTGAACTACAAAGCCTAAGAACTTTGGTTGAGATCCCGGGCACAGGGAATTTCTAAACGCGCACGTTGGCTGCAGTAAGCATGAATCTCAAGTTGATGTTAGTTCACCGTGTTCGATAGCTACCCCAACTGACACTGCTATTGGCAAGCGGCAAAAAGGGTTCGTCGTGTCCGGTTGTTGCAACGTAGAGCGAAACATACATATGCCTTGCTTGCCCACAGGACATGGGATATGAAAATACATTTGTTCATGTTGACTTCAAAGGAAACCGCCAATGAGAACAAAACACGGGGTTCACGATATTTCTCCAAAAACGTGGTAGCGAACAAGGTGATATCCAGGGAGCCCTGAAACAGGACGTGCATAACCAGCCCTGTCAAGTGGATAATCACCCTATTTAGAACTCGCCGAAGAAAGATTCGCCATGCGAACCCTTTAGGGATGACTCAACATAAAGGTTGCCAACCGCTTGTTTGGGAGTTGTCTTTCAAGCAATCTCCATGAATCGAAAGCACCAAGAGCTTTCGGGACCTAACTCGAACTTGCAGGTTCTCAGCAGGGAATGAGGGAATCACCTATGGTTCCTTTGAGGGAATCCCAAACGATTCATTCCCACCACCAGGTCTCGGTCATTCCCTACCTATCGCACCAGCAAGTTGAGGAACCCTGGACGAAACGGCACGGGATAATTTTACCCCACTTAAAGGAGCATTGCACTGGGTAGGTGGCTAGCAAGCCTGTTTGTAATTAACCCACTTACCATGGTTAGAAGTCTCCGTTCAGTGGGCAACCGGGCTTAGTAACCATTTACGTATTTGCGTGAGGTACCCGATCGCCCCTCGAAGTCAAGGCACGCTGGGACATCGCAGCACCGCGCAGAGAGATCGGCTGGTCTCCCGCCACTCGCCGGACGCCTTGGCCGACCTGAGGTCAAATACACCGGGAGTACGCCCCAAAAATCACCCGATGCTTGGCCTTCTTCAAATAACACCTGGATCTTTTGGTTGATTTCGGATTTGGGGAAAAACAGTTGGGGTGTAATTTGAGGGTGTGACAGGAAAATCTTTAGATCAAACTCCTTTTCAGAGATGCTACAAAGGATGCCAGGAACAAGGAACCCTCGAATTTACCGTGAATTGCCATAGTGTTGTGGTTCAGTGTGCCACTTGCACTATTTAGGGCGTCAACCCTACCACCACCCCAACCCCCCTCACAACGCATAAGGGTTGAAAAGTGGCTTAAAGGCCCAATAAGGGCCAACTAAGTTGTTTGATTTTGTGGGGTTGGTAGGGTCCCTCGTCTGCCATAAAACTGCTATGGCATCCTCACTTTGCATCCTCATTTAAAGGGAGATCAAGAGCAAACCGACAACTATACCAACAAACACCGTTTAAACAACAACAAAACCAACACACGACAAAAAAACAACAACTGAAAACCACCACACAACCAGAAATCACGCAACTAAACGCGGTTGCTTTCTGCTCCCCCTGCTCAAAGTTTAACTTTTAGTGATTTAATACGGAAACCCCATTAGTTGGCAAACAGTTCAAGTCCTAGCATCCCTTGGCAAAATGCACGCAACTAAAAGCAGCTTTGAGCGATCGGATCGTTGCCCCCACCTCACCATCTCCAGCAGGTCCCCAGGGCTGAGTATGGAGAAGGCCCGGGAGGCGACACCCGGCACCACCAGCGGCTTCAGCAGCACCACTTCGCACCCCGCCTGACGCGCGCTGCGGGCGAGTCGCTTCCAAGCGAGGAGAGTTTCCTTCGGTTGGAGCAGCCGAAGGGTTCTAGGGGTAGCTTCCCCAGTCTTTCCAGGCATCCTTCTTTCTGCAAGGGGTACTTTCCATTTCCAGTCTTTCCGGGCATCCTTCTTTCTACAAAAACACCCAAAACCCTGGGGAAACAGCGACCGGTTTTTGAAAAGAACGATGCTTGAAAAGAATGGGGAATCATCCCGTGACCTTTCGGATCACTGCTGACTTGGATGTTCAATTCGCCAAGTTGGAAAGTGGTGAGCCACTTGGGTTCCAACCCACTAGAAACAGGGCTAACCTTGCAGGGACTTATTAGTGGGTTATAACCTCGGTTACCAACAACTTGCTAACTTGGCCGACCCAAGTACCAGCACCCCCAAGCACTGCTTGCTTCTTTTGTGGACAGTACTACTTGGGATTTTGGACATGGGAAAAGGCAATTGGGGGGTGCTGGTGTTCGATCTTCCGATTCATGCCCAAAACACCGAAAACCCAAGGGGGGGGGTGGGGGTGGGGAACAGGGTCTATGAATTGGATCTGCAGGTCTTCTGCTTTCAGGGGATCCGATTCAAAAAACCTGTTTTTCCCCTGGAGAACCAGGACTCGAAAGGCCGCAATCCACAGTCCCGATCTGCTGCTTTCGGGTAGATCGCAAACCAGGGCACTTTCGACACTGGGGGGTTGATCTCTAAGAGTATGTTCCTTTAATACAAGGCTCTTAGACTCCCTGCCAAAAGTGATCAATTGTTGCTGGTTAAGCGGACAAATGAAGGAAACCCAAACCCTTTGGAACTGATTAGAACCAAACTGAGCCAAGGTCATCTGATTTCATCTGAAGTCAGATAAGGACACCCCCTGCCACCAGAGGTTGGTCCACAAAAAGAAAGGCTGCTCCTCTCGAAATCAATGGGGTCCATCTCTGCATAAGCATAAGCCATGGCCAATGCCTTCATGCACTCGGCCCCACCCTCGTCGGGCAGAGCCCCTTCCAAGGCCTCCGAAGGCACCTTGAACTTCACGTAGCTGTTCTTCTTCAAGGCTTCCACAGAGAGTGCCGTCGGCAGCTCCTGCGCAGCCAGTGACCTTTGAGAACTCCCGAGCTGGTTTTGATCCTTTCACCTTCAGCCCACCGCCATGGGGCGCTTTGGGAAAGCTCCCAAAGATAAGCTTCATGTTGATCTCAGAATGAGGGAATGACCCCTGTAAACAATGCCGTATGGCTTCCTCTAAGGGAATCCCTAGGTTCATTCCCTTTCAATCCGTGGGCATTCCCTACTGAGCACCAGCAAGTAAACTTGGCCTGACAAATAGCCACAAATGCAAGCTTGGAGGAACATGTGGCTCGAGGAGCGGCAGTGTTTCCCTCACCTCCAAGTAACGACGGAGACTTTCGACCAAGGCACATGCTCGACAATCCTAAAGCGCGGGCCTTGCTTGATTTGACACGAAATGATGCTTGGCTTCTTGATTCCCAGTGCCAACTGCTCCAACTGCTGCCCGAAATGAAAAAGAACAGGAACACGGTCACTGTTTTGAGGGGTCCCACCTTGTATCAGTACCTCCCCGTCAATGGGGCCAAACTTGGACCCAATTTGGACCCACCTGAAATTAACTCATTGCGGTTGATGTCTCTGGGGAAGCCATCAAATAATATGATATTCTCCAAGTCTGGCCTGCAACTGACCCCAAGAAAACGTGAAAAATCGGGAACATCAGGCACTCAGCTTGTCCTCGGAATGCCCAAGCCAATGTCTTGTTGATGAGTCTCCAGTTCCCAATTCAGATTCCAACAACCATGTGTGCCGCATACCGCCTCGGAAATCCTGTTGCCAACCCCTCAATGGACCGCCTCCAGGCACATTCCCGCATCAACTCGTGGCTCCAAGCTGCATGTGATCATGGGTTCAAGGCACCTGGTATCAAGCCCCAAACACGCGATCGGGACTGAGATTTGTGCTGGAACCAGTTTCCCAGATCCTGTAGACAGGCTCGAGGGCTAGCTGAGCTTGAAGAATCCTCATCATCACAGGCAATTGCGGCAAACCTCGCAATTGTGCCCCTGATCTTATGTTTTTTTTCCGCTCTCCTCCTGATCCTCCTCCACCTCCTTGATGGCGGGGATGGGCTCCGGTGCTGGTCGCCTCAGTGGGGCCAAAGCATTCCGTGCTGGACAATTGGATCCCCCCCAAATGGGGGTTTCCTGATGGCTCCCTTTAAAATGATTAAAAAGGGATACACAGAGGAAGACATACCCACATCTTTCCAACAGTTGCTTACAAATGGGCCAAGCGGGAAGCAGCCACCTCCGCGTGCTTGGCCTTGGAAGTTTCCCAAAACTCTTGTGGGGTCTCTTCAAACAGGGAGCTGCACACTGCACGTAATTCATGCTTGCTACAGTCATGTGCACCTGCACGTGTGACCTCTCAAACAGCGGGTTGCACAAGCTGTTATCCTTTTCAAACAGATGACCCAAACAGCAACCATTTGCATATACCCTCCGCCGCTGCCCCCACTGATCCTTCCGCTCTTGCCTGGGCCCAACGACACCCTGAGCGCATCCCTCAGTAAGGCCAAAGAATGCTGCCCCAATCTGTCGACCAAAAATGAACCACAAAGCCCATGAGGCATGCCTAAACCTTGGCCCAACTCAGGCATCAACCACCATGGTCGGATTCTAATTCATATTTGGTCAACCAGCAATCGTTTATGATTCAGATGATTCATTTATGATTAGCCAAACCTTCCAGAGACCTGGTTGATCTGGGGTTGGTGGCAAAACCCTGCTTTACCCCTTCAACGGTCCTCAACCTCACGGCCCAAGCCCGGGCATTTGCAAGCGAGAAGCTTCTGCGGCCGCCCAGGCGCCATCCCCGGCGGCAAAGACACGGTGCGCGACAGGCCGTCCGCCTCACCCCCCCCAGAAGGCGATTGACCGATGAGCGGATTCACTTCAAGGCCCAGCAAACATAATGTGGATGGACAAAATCCATTTCGCGCTACTTTGAAGCATGGGAACCAAGTTGTTTGTTGGTATTTACAGGGGAATCATCATTCCAGGGTTTTTAGGTGGTGCAGGATTTCGTTCATCCACAGTGGGGCCCCCCATCGAAAAGGAAGAATCCAACAAATAAAGGAAGGACATACACTTGGCGCAGAGATGCACACAGAGATGCAGCCAACAAATTGCCTCTGCAAATAAAGGAAGGTGGTTGTGGGTTGGTATCATTTTAACATGTAAGTTGGCTCTATGAACTGCTACAGTTGTGAGGTCTTGCAGATGTATAAGAGACTACCCGGGAACAAATCGCCTCGCATTATCCACAGGGAGGTCAAATCCTGGCTCCGAGCGGCTTGCTTTTGGAATCTCATATATTGATTCTAACCCTGGGGGGTCCCAGTGTTTTGTTGTTTTTTGTGTATATATATATAGTTGAAATCACGGCTGGGCTGGGGGGTCCCAGTGTTTGTTTGTTTTTTGATCATGCAAAGGCGGGGGGTCCCGGTGTTTTTTGTTTGAAATCAAGGCCGTAGGGTCCCGGTGTGTGTTTTTATTGAAATCACGCCCGGGGGGTTCCAGTGTTTATTTGTTTGAAATCACCTTGGGGTCGCGGTGCTTGTTTTTGCTGCATTCATGCCCGTGGGCCGGGGTGCTTTTTTTCTTCTTTTGAATTCACGCCTTGGGGCTCCGCTTTTCTTGTTGAATTCACGCCTCTGGGGCCTGGCGTTTTCTTCTTTTGAAGTCACGCTTGGCTCCGGTGAAATCACGCCCAGGCGTGATGTAAAACAAAGAAAACACTAGGACCCGGCGTGACTTCCGAAGCAAAAACACGGCGACCCCCAGGTGTGATTTCAACAAACAAACAACGGGACACCCCAGGCAATCAGTGGTTCCAAAAAAAGGACTGGAGCCGACGGGAGTTCAAAAAGAACAGGACCCCCGGGCGTGATTTCAAAAAGAAAAAACAGCGGGATCGAGGTGTTTTTCCTTTGGAATCACCAGACGCTGAGTCGCTTGCTTGCTCGCTTCGTTTTTGAAAAACACACCAAATGAGAATCCAAAATCAGGAACTTCAAAATAAACGCGGCTGGTGTAAGTTGAAGATAACAACACCTGTTCCGTCAAATCCTGCAAGTTATACGTCTATTCCTACGTGTGGTGGTGTGAACATAATCTGTTGGTTGCCCGCGTTAAGTAAGTGCTCTATTGGTAGAGTGATGCGTACAGAATCGACGTGAGGAGACCTGTGCTTGGGGTAAAAAATGAGTGGTCACCAACCCCAGCGTTGACAGGTGCCCAGGATGCAAAACGCACTGTGCGAATGTTCGTACAAAACAATACACACAACTCCCACTTCAGTGTCAACACATGCAGTTTGCATCTTGCCATTGCCATGCTCTTCCACGTTGCAAAAGTCACATGACTGTTGACCATTGCTCATAATATGCAAAACCCAAGTGTGGATGTCTTATCTTCTCTCTTTTGGGTGGGTGTGAACTTTAACGGGAGACCCTTTGGCGGACATCAAAAATCGGTGGGCATTCACGTCCGCCAACCACTTGTGAGGTGGTGTCCTACTAACATAGCCGTTTGTTCCTTAGAGCTTGAGACACTCACTGGCCTCCTCGTCCACTGGCGAGCTTTGACCTTGGCTGACACCCCTTCAGTCGTCAGTGTTGCTTTGGGTTCCATTTGAAGCAAGGTCCCTTTCAACTCCTTTAAATATCACCCCCAGAACTGGGCTGAGTCTGATGTTGCATGCATACAGGCGTGGGTGTTCTTGTGCGTGGTCACAGTCAGAGCGACTTTGCATATTGCATGGTCTGTTGCCACTGTTAGTCCCAATTTTGAAGATCTATCCAAGAAGCAGTCCGGTCAGGCTAAAATGTCAACCTCAAATTCTGAAATTGAGATTGCGATGACCGTTCTCCACTGTTCAGCAGAACGGTACCCTGCAAAAGGAAAGAAATCATGCGATCCAAATCGGAATGACTCGGCTTAGACTGAAAGGCTTAGGGCCGCGAACATCGGCCTCTGACCTGCAACTAACAGCGCAAGCTATTGCGGCCACATATATATATATATATATTATCACTCATCGTGGACTGGGCCCAGTATGTTGACTGTGTCTAGGCGCTTTCCTGGTTCAATGATCTTGACGCGTTTACCAGTCATGACCCCTTCCCTTCGAAAACAACAGGGAAGCAGGAAATAATATCTTCAGCAGATGATAGACTTGGAAGGACTTTGAGAATGGTAACATGACGTGGCGTGTCAAGTTTAACAGAATGCATGTCAACATCCCAACTGCTGTGGCAGAAAAAGGACCCCTTTATTTGGGCTGGCAGATTTTGAAGGGAAACCCATCCCAACAAGCACAAAAAAGAGCCATCCCAAAATGGACTTCGCTTTTCCCTTTTGTTTCCCCGCAAAACCAAGCTGGAAAGGGTACCATCCGAAACACTAACACACACACACACACACACACCGGGCTCTCCGATGTGTTTCTCTAACCAAGCTGAAAAACCGTCAAAACCATAGGTGTCCTTTTTGTGAAAATAGATGGCCCTGGTAGATGATTAAACCAGCAGGTAAACCAGGAATCGCCCTCTATGTTCCGATCAAACCAACCAAAAAGGACACTTATGCCTCCAAACCGCAGAGGCTCACGTCGAGGCGCAGAAGGCGAAGCCTAGGCGCCCCAGGCCGCCCACGGAGTTGGTCCGCTCCACCGGGGAAGCTTCCAAGCGCCCTGAACGATGGCGAAGGGACTGTTTGTCTGTTCCTCTGACACAAAAAAGCGGGCGCCCGGAAAAAGGACAAACATGTTTCTGGGAAAATGTGGTGTATTTTGGAGGGGGAACCCCTTTGTGGTTGGTTATATAAAAGAAACGCCTGTGTAGAATCACGTCTGAGAATATTTGTGTCGTGGAATTCCTGGTGGTTCTCGGCATTAACCCCTTTTTTGCATGGATCCGCCGTGTTTTCTGCGCAAGCGCCTGAAACTATCAGAACGCCTAGATTTCTTTGAAATTGCCGTAGTTGAAACAGTGAAGCTGCAGCGAAGTATCCGCCAGGCGCTGAAGGACAGCATGAGGCGCTTTAGCACAAGCTGCTACAGTTGACTTCTGGGTGCTAGGTCCTCCTCCAGTAGAGAGGTTAGAATAAGGGTACCGTTTTTCCCCTTTTTTTCTGTAGTCTATTTTTATCAGGGGAACCCTCCCCCACAAAAGGGGAGAGAAGGGCACTACTGGGGGACCTAGGGTGTGTCTCTTTATGGGACCGCTTTAATTTGAAAGGGGTCACAGGGAAAGCCGCCCTCGCTTGCTTTCTGCTCAACTTTTCGTGGTTTGATACGGAAAACCCATGAGTTGGCGAAAAGTTAAAAGTCCTAACATCCCTTGGCAAGATGCAAGAGCCATTCTTGGGCTCAAAACCCTTTTCCGGAGAATGCCGATCCACCCCTGGGCAGCAAGAGCCGCCTTCCGCGCTGCGCAAGCAGGCGCGCGGCAGGCAGCTGCCTGACATGGGAACACAGGTTCCCATCGCTTCCGATCCGAACCTTTACTTGGTATGATATGAAAGAGTTGAAGCCTTCAGGTGGTTGATGTATGCCCAAAAGCCACACCACCTTAAGTCTTTGTGGTCCTCAAAATGGCTGACCTATGGCGGTCCACTTTCTCCCTGTCACCTATGGCGATCCTCTCCGCCAACCAAATCCGGTAGAATCAACATGTAGTGCGTTGGAATCCATTTGCAAGTGAACCAACCGCTTCCAGCCACACAATTTTTGCTGAAGTGCGGTCACGCACAAGGTCCACCTGGATGCATCCTTCCCTCAAGACACACCGGCTTCGGTCCAAGGGTAAGATGTCGCAAAAGGCTGGGCCAATGCCAAGTGATGCACGCTGGAATCGAAGAACACCAAGACAACATTACAATATTTCCTGGCATGCTAGGCACTGGCGAGACCTTAAAGTCCGGGAATCCCTAACTTCAATCGGAGCATGTCTGGATATTCCTTTGCTGTCTGCCTTTTGCGGACTTTCCATTTAGATCAAACATCGCAAAAAGAGCAAGCGTGAGACAGACCTGGCTTTCGCTCTCGCTGGCAAGCCTCTGTTCCCATTCTCACAAGGACCTTCCCTTTTGCCTCCCCAAGTTGACACACCAAGAAAGTGTCTCCCAAAAGAGGCTCCTGTGAATGGCATCTAAACCTCAAGGAATTGGTTGCCTGGGCCCGGGGCTCCGGGTACTTCGTTTGCTGTTGAGGGCCACGTGTGGTGAGGGACTCTCGAAAGTGAGAAAGTCAGAGCCAGCTGGTCTCTCAAAACCAGCCGGACCCTTGGAGACTGGTCCACGGGAGAACCCCCCGGTGTGAGACGCGCCCAAGGGGATTTTGGTGTTCTTAAAGTAGAAACCTATGTGAGGGCTAATTGACCAGCAGTGGTTCTTCACCTGCTGAACAGATGGCTGGCCGAGATCTGGGCAAGCAGATATTTTTTTTAAAACAAAGCTCGATCTTTCTACCGGCCTCAAATCTGAGCAGGCTCGCAGGAGTAGATGTAGAAGGGTGATTGATCCCATTAATAGTGCAGGATGCTCCTTTCCAAGCACACAAAACTCACGTGACATTGTGTGAGGTAGTAGGCAGCTTTATCAATGCACCACAGTGACTCAACAAGTTTGTTGACCCAAAATCAGGGGGTCCACATTCTGTTTTGGTTCCTTTGGTTTCCCTTTGAAACCGCGCAGTGCCGACAAGGTGGGGCATCATGAATTAATCCTCGCAAATGCAAGCTGAACTCGATGCCCCTGGAAGAGTCAAACCAGCATCTCTTGGGGGCTTCCGCACTGCTGGCTTCTTCGTTTGCACTGCTTGTTGCTGTTGCGCCATCTGACGACTTGACGAGGCAAGTACGCCTGACGCTGAGATCGAACCCAAAAAAACTGAATACAGACAGTCCCCGAAAACCTAGCTAGTTCTCAGTAAAACATCTGGCAATGAACCTAGAGATCCCCGTAAATCAAGCCATGACGGATGGTGACTCGCTCTGCTGAGAACCAGCAAAAAGAAGGACGCACCTGGCAGAACTGTACTAGGGACCCTTTGGTGTACATCACTTTTGGGATTCCCGTCCATCAACCACTTTGAGGTGGTTCAAAGTCTTAAAACTCCCATCTTTTCCTTAGACCACAAAACCATCTGGCTTTCCCCTTGCTTTCCCGAACCACCAAGATGGTTGCCTTCCCCTTGTTTTCCCCTTGCTTTCGGGGAAAGACCCTGACCATCCCACAACCTTTCCCTAAGCATCCCACCAAAATCTGGCTTTCCCCTAGTCCGTAACCCCTTGAAACGGGTACCACCCACGGGCTTTTGCCGCTTTAGGAAGACGAGGCCCGCGGCATCTCTCCGCGCCTTCGGACACGTAGCGGTCCAGCTGCTCCGCGCGCTCCGGCGCCGGGAGCGCCAGGGCGCAGCTGTGGTCCATAGTGGCGGCCTCGGATCGGTTTCGCCATGGGCCATGGGCCATGGGGCCGTCTGTGGGCCATCTCCGGGAAAAAGCAATAGGGCCAAGAGGGGGTGTAGGGTTTAGGGTTTAGGGCTTAGGGTTTAGGGTTTAGGGTTTAGGGGTTGTGGATCTCCCGGAAATCTCCGGAAAAGAGCACCAAAAAGCCACTTTTTTTTTTGCGGGGGGGAGCAAAAGGGTTGCGTCGTTGTTTTGGGGAGGGTCGATTTTTGAGAAGCTCTCATTGTTTTTGAGCGTCAACCCGTTGACTTGTTGGTTGTACCATGGCGAGAAAGAAATATATGAGACCGAGTAACCACCTACTGAAGTGATTCGGCGCTGCTCATTTGCGTGGTCAAACTCCCAAACGGGCATCATGGTTCCCTGACAAGGCACCCTTGAAATAGTGTTCTATATATTGTAATGAGTTCATGACCATCCCTAGCCCCGAGCAAAAGGGTCAATTGACCACATTTGGGTCTGCGTCTAAATAGGGTGATCCCCCCAAATTGGTGCGTTCTCTTGAAAACAACACCATATTGGTTTGCCTTTCAATAGTGGTTTCCCTTTGAAACAGCCACACAAAGGGTACTGTCACGGACAGCCTCGCCGGCATCGCCCCACAAAAATTAGTGGATGCCCAAGCAACATTCAAAAGGCTCCCTCAACTAATGCGGGTTTGGCAAGATTCTCCCCGTGAAAGGGGAGAACGAGCTGTACTTACTGGATGAAAAAAGGCCGGGATTGAGCAATGAGGTGGAACGAGGGGGAGGTGGGGGAAGGGTAGGCTCTAGCGGGGTGCACCACACTGATGAAAAATACAGCATGTGATGGGGGAAAGCGGTGTGTTGTGCTAATGTTCAGAAAAGTATGCCGGCAACCCAAGCGAGGCGCCCTCAGTTTGATGGTCGCATGAAGGGACCAACATGAACACATCCGCAACTCTCCTATGGGGGCTCCCCACAAGGAGACCACTCATAGATTTTATGAGGAACCACCTTAAAGCGTTCAAGATCAGTTTGAACTCTCGTCTTAAAACGAAGATCTGGAAAAAGCAAGACATACTCGTCCCAACCCCGGTTGGAAAATACATTAACAACAACACATGTTGTTCTGCACCCAAAAAACGAAGCTGTGGCCTCGGCCTATTTCGGACTGGGCTTCCAGCGAGGGCGAAGATCAGAAGCTTCTTGCTACCTTGGAGTCACACCGAGTCACTGGAATTTCCCCGTGAGTTGATCCGTCTGGTGATCTCCATCTGGTGAACTTTTTTTCTGTGGCGGGGGAGACCCAATCTACAAGGAAATGACAAGATTTAAACGCTTTAGCATCAAATCCCTGGACCATCCAGAAGGGCAAACCCCAAAACAGGAGTAAACAAGAGTAAACGAGGTGTAAACAACAGTAAATAAGGGCAAATGAGGGTAAATGAGGGTAATTTAAATGAGCCCTAAATTGGGGTAGCAGAAATCTAGTCGGAATATCTGTTCGCACAACTTAGCCGCTGTAAGTCCCTGCAAGTCCCTGTAAGTCCCTGCAAGTCCCTGCAAGGGGGGAGGGGCATACTTGGGCCTACAACGGGGGCGGGCGCATACCCAAGTGTCTCTCAAGAATTGAGCTCCCCTAAAAATGGTTGCTTTAATTCTAACCTGAAATCAGGGGTGTGTCTCAAAATAACAATAAGAAAAACACACAGACAGGTGGTGGGTGTCCTCGTGATTTCCCTTCAACTAACCGCCACCTGTGGGCTCCCTTCAAGTACCACCAGGTCCTCCAGTAGAGAGGTTAGAATAAGGGTGCCCTTCTTGCGGTCGTCTATTTTAGTACGGGAACCCTCCCCAAAAAAAAGGGGAGAGAAGGGCACGATCCTGGGGGACCTAGACCAAGCACCTGGCTCCGCATCGACTCCGAGGCCTTCGCCGAGCTTGGCCGCGACCGGCGACTCCTCGCAGTCGCTGCAGTGGCCCAGGCCCAGCTGTCCTCGATTTCCGTTTCCGTTGGGACCTCCCCTACTGTGGATGGACGAAATCCTGCACCACTTTGAAACCATAGGAAGCCATTTGTCGTTGGCTTTTTGCAGGGGAATCATCATTCCAGGGCTTCTTAGGTGGTGCAGGATTTCGTCCATCCACAGTAGGTCCTCCAGTAGAGAGCTTTAGAATAAGGGTACCAACTTCTGTCTGCAGTCTATTTTAGTAGGGTCCCGAACCCTCCCCCCCAAAAAGTTGGGTAGAAGGGCACTACTAAGAAAACTAGTCCCCGGTTTCAGGTGGATTATGTGGTTAAGTCCACATGTGTTTCCCCCATTCCACCTGAAGGACACCAGGGTTTTTGACACCCCGTCCAGGTCTCCGGAAGGTTACAGGCCCGGAACACCAGTAGAACTCGGTCGAAGGTTTCCCAGGGTCCGTTCAACCTGGGATCCAGGCTACACCAAGAACATCCAAGTCCCTTTTGACAACAAGTGATGTTGAAAACCTCCCCTTCAAAGGACAATTAATTCTGGGCTTGGAGCCCAGGTAGATGTTGAAACCAGCCAGCCGCTCCGAGCCCGCATCCAAAGTAGTCGCTTTGCACAAGCAGAATGACAGTTGACAGAAGCGGCCGCCGCAGTCTCCAAACGAGGAACGAAGTTGTCCTTTTCAAAGATACAACTCGACTGAAACTGTGCTTATTCGAGCATTGTCTGCACGGAATCGTTTCACACCTCAAGCACCCGAAGTAGTTCATCGCAGTGAGGCGGAAGAAATGGCAACCATTGGCAACTGGCTGCTACCAAGTGTGTATAATGCCATTATTGTGCGTTGCAAGCTCGGAATTGAAGACCATGCAAGGTTGGATCAAACACCCTTCCACATCTAATCCTACAAACCTTGTCAGGAGTTTTTGGCAGCAGGTGGAATGACTGGAATCGGTCCTAATCTGCTTGCCGAGCGATAGAAAACCATATTGTTAATCCACTGTCCTTCCTTCAAACAGGCTCATGTAGGCTTCCATCTACAAACCACCAGGGTCCCTAGGGTCTGTCTCAAAATGGGAGACCCTTTCTTGTGGCGCCTGAAGGCCCGTTTCTTGAAAAGGCTCCGACTCCTTCAATATCTCGTACAGCTTGGCATTGCATGGAATACTGCTTCCCACAACCGGTCCGAGTGGGTAGAACCAATTCGGAAACCTCTACATTGGGACACCTATGCATCCACCAAGTGTCTATGGATGTTCATTAAAGAACACCACGGTCTAGCTGGCTACACGTTGACGATTCCTTGAATAATTACAAGTTGAAACAACCAACTACCATCCAAAATTGTTCAGTGAGAAACACGAGGGTCCAGTTGCTTGAGCGCCCTCATCAAACCACCCTATTTGGACTTTTGTAAGCACCGGATCGCCGCTCGCCAACCCGCAGGTCCGCGCCTTCGCTGTTGGAGCCGAAACCAAGGACAAGGCCATCAAAGGTGAGGCAGAGTGTGTGCCTAGAGCCACACTCCACCAGGCCTCAGTGGGGAACAAGGACAAGTTCCGATTCTAGGCGTCCATACTATGGATGGTTGCGCAATCAATGTCGCACCACTTTGAAACCATAGGAAGCCATTTGTCGTTGGCTTTTTGCAGGGAATCGAATCATCCCAGGGTTTCTTAGGTGGTGCGAGATGGATTTCGTCCGTCCACAGTGTCCTTTTGAGAGTGGAACCCTACTGAAACCACTGCCATCGATTTTCACGCAACCAATTTGGGACTTTGGGCGCCCGTTGGTTCAATGGGCATTCAACAAAACAGGCCTCCATTGTTTGAACAATCTGCAGGTCGGTATGTTAACCACGGGCAAAATGGTCGTCCCCTCGAAGAGAACATGAGAAACATAGGTCTAAACCCCTGGAAGTCGTGAAGACTTCGGGTCGCTCCAATGTTCAAGCTACCTCTAGGCTCCCATAAATTTCGGCAGTTGCTCATGTTGAATTCCTCAACACGTATACCCCGGCAAAGAACATGTGAAAACATTCCACGCACGCTGTTGGCATGCATGTCAAGTGAACAACATTGCAAGGCATCGTGCGCATGTGCATGAGAACGCGCAAACTGTATTTGCAATGGCAAATACGACATGCGATTCATCTACTTTGCGCAACGCGTGCTGCAACCCCCCAATTCAATTCCAAAACCGGTGCCGGCGCTCAAGGAGGAACTGGAACACGTTAGGGTCCTCCCCGCGGATGGTCGGCCAATCCGATTTTCCAGAACCTCTTTTGGGAGAACACTTCAAGGGGCAACCCGCCTGCAGCCCAGCCTGCACGGGGTCTACCCAATGAGTGGCACACGCACACAGGCACACGCACACACACACACACACACTTGATGCAAGCTGGATTCGGTTAGTTAGACTTTGTTGCCGGGTCTAGTTCAAAAAGACAGGAATCCCCGACCCTAATCCCTAGTCTTCGTGGAGAACTACAAAAATGGAAACCCCCGCCATCTGGCACAAAGATTGAGGATTGACTTCGAACAAGCCAGCGAGAGGCTGTTAAGGCTCTCCAATATCTTCCAGCCTCTCGGCATTCTCCTTTTGCCCCTGCCCAAAGGCGACCCACACCCAGGGGCCGCGCGAATCCCTGACATCTGAGCAACCTGCAGGCCAACCGGCTGGGATGTGTCATGTTCTGTAAATCTGGTGAGTCGCCCTGTCTCTCCCACATCAGCTATAGACTGGATACCAAACCTACTGTGGATGGACGACATCCATTTCGCACCGGAATGGAGACTCCCCTGTACATACCAACAAACATCGGCATCCATTTGGCCATGGATTTTTGGATTTTTTGTCCACGGGTAGATTGTTCATTTTGCAAACCCTATATCCTATCAATACGGGATATTGACTTATCAAGATTGGCTATCCAAGTCTTCATTGCCCAACCCCAAACAAGGGATGTGTGTCTATCATCATGTTCAGCCAAGAGCAAAGATGTGAAACGTTTGCGAACCCAGGAGTTGCCCCTGTTTCAGGATTGTTGTGGACCATAATCCTTTCCGTGATGCCACAGGGGTAAAGAATGGCCTGCAAACCAAGTGTTCCGGCCCTTTGCGTCCTTTTGCCATGTTTGGCATACCTGCAAAGGGAGTCACAAAACTGTTGGCGTGCAATCAAACATGTTCCACGCCATGATCGGCCGCTTTTCGAACTCCGAAATTATGAAGCCCAAAGCTGTTCAGCCATCGAGTTTCGAACAGTTCTCTGGCTTGCGGGTGGTTTTCTGGAGAAACCAAAGATCCCTGGGTTCAGAACTGCGAGACTTGCTTGCCCGTAGGTGACCGTTAGTCAATCATGGTTCAATGATCGCAAACCGGCCACCAGAGGCCCACAAATCACCCAAAATTGGAAAGAATGTTCAAGCAGCACACAGACAGGTAGTTCTGTTGGCAAGCCTCTTGGACAAGCCTTCCCAGGGGTGCCGGAGAGAGCCCACTTATACAACAGCCTCGTAAGCAGGGGAGCACTTCGATCTGGAAATCCTTAGGAAGTCAGCAACCTTTCTGCTCACAGGGTGGCTCACACGGCGTGCAATTTCCAAACCGATTCGGAGGCTTCCTTCAGGTCTTCGCATAGCTTGTGGACAGTTCAGGTACCCTCGGCTACCGCCCGGGAAATGCCCTATTCATGGGTGCTCCTTTTTTAGGGACACCCGTTTTGTGTCGGCTTTTTAAGGCAAACCAAAAGACCAATCACACATTCTTGGGGTCCCCCATTTCAAGACAGACCCATATCTGCGCGTTTCCCTTAGAGGTTGCCCCTAGTGGTTCCAGGTAGCCAAGAGGTGGCCAAATAACACCGGCATAGCTTCCAATCACATGTCCGCACCGTTTTTTGCCAGCGCTGCCTGCATTGCATGCTCGAATTGAGCAACTTGATACAAATAGGTCATGCTGTTTGCACCAAGCACTGTTGGAGCACATGTTGCACAGAATTCAGCAGCAAGTGGCGATGAAACCAAGCGGCAATCAAATGAAAATCGTCATTTTTTCGTCGGAGGACATGTCAAAGCCGGATCGCGCTTCTTCAACTCTGGGCATACATGGGCGCAATCCTCCCCAGCCGTGCTTTGATGTCTGCGGGCAGGGATCCCAACTTCGTTGCAGACATTCTCACAAGGACCTTGTCCACAAGTTGCCTGAAATCCCCGGGCCAAGCATCGAACTCGTAGCAACTTGCTCGACATGGAAGCCCTGGGGATCCCAGTCCAGTCCATTTTGACCGACCGTCTCCCAATGACTTCCCAATATAGACACCGCGATTGTGGATGTGATGTGTGCATTTGTCACCCCAGAGATCTCGCCACGCATTTCCGCTGCTGGCATTGCTCAGGTACTCTTCGGCTTTGCCCTGGACCGTCTCTATAGAGTAAGGGTTATTGTCGTCTTCACAGAGCGGCTCCGACTCCTCCCGTTCCAAGACGCGCTCCGACCTTACCATTGCACCAATGGTGACCACTGGCAGCAAATCGGCACAGTGTGAAGCTGAAAGCTGGATGCGTCAGAACAGCCATCCAGGTTTTGAGAAACTTTGCAAAAGCGAGCGTCGCTTAACCTGAGCCATGCGTCCTATTTGGGCGATGCCCAACCTTAAACCTCCGTGACGAGGTTCTTTGCCAACCACAGTGGTGAAAATGCAACGCAGATTTCATGTACTGAGTTGCCCAAAGGACCCAGAAACAAAAGGTTAACCTTTTGGGGCCATGACTAAAAGTTGACCAAACTGGTGAAGCTTAAACACTAAAAAGGTCGGCTTTGGGCAAGCGAGTGTACTCATCACGTGTTCCTCGTGCCAAGGCAATTGCTATGTTTCCCCCTTTTGCTACTCGTGTCCATGCGTGCCCTGTCAACATTCTGGTAGGGGCAGCACTGCTAGCTTGCGTGCGATTTGCCGTGCCCTCCTCTCTCGCTTCCAACTTGTTTTATACGTTCCTATTTGGTCAACTCGTTCATCTCATGCTCTGACTAAAACAGTTTATTGGAGTTGCCCGTCCCATTCAGCAGAATGCTCTCCGGGTTTCATGCTTTGAGTCCATTGATGCCAAATACCGCCGAATAACTGGAAATACAGAAAAGCTCTCGCAAAATGATTGTTCTGCCTGAAAAGTAGGGTAGGGAATGCAAACCAGCTTGCCTGTCTCCACGGTGGAGAAAAAAACACACACAAAACACCCGTCAGAGGGGGGGAACGGTTAGGGACTACAAAAAACAACATGACTCCTAGCCCTAGCCATGCTAAAGCAAAACCAAACCAAGTCTAAACTAACTAAGCCATTGCTAAACCAATCTTAAACCAATAGCAAATCAGTACTAAACCAGATCGAACCAATAATGTTACACTGTTACTTAATTAATCGTAAACTAAAAACAAATACTAAGCCAGCCAACCGACTGGAGCCCCAAACAGCCCACTTCCAAATGACACACTTTACTAAAACAGCCCAGCGCAAAACAAGTATTCACGGGAGCACAGGAAAGACCAGGAACCCCGAAGTTTTAAAGACAGCCTACACCCTGAAGATCCTAAAGATTCAACACCAAAACGATGCTTGTGGGATGCCGCCGCTAGAATTCAACAACATTGGTTGAGTTGTTTTCATGCTTTTTCATTTTGTGGCATATTAGTTTAAACAACAAAACATCAACCATCCACCTTTCACATACCCCTTAACAAAAGTTGTTGGCAACCCAAAAAAGCCAGGGGGTCTGAGCAGTTCTATATGTACTTCCACCCGCAGAGACTGGATGTGAGTGTGGCTCAGAAACAGGTACCCAAATGGAACCCTGGTAAAATTTTAATGGTTTCCCCACACAGGGATCCTTACATTATACACCTGAACATTGCCTTGTCAATGGCGGTGTTGTGTGGATATTTTGGTGGAAACAGCAACATGTTTCAAATGGTTGCAAGATGTATCTTTTAAGGAGCCCTGTTAATATATTCTCCATTTCTCTCTGCTTTTACCTTCCCTCACTCAGTGCTCCTGGTCACCCTTGGCCAATTCTTGCAAGACACTGTCCTCCACCCGCGGCGCGTGTGAAGGTACACCCGAACATTGCCTTGTCAATGGTGGTGCTTTGTGGATATTTTGGTGGAAACATGTTTCAAATGGGCAACAGCCATGTTGCAATTTTTTCAGGAGCCCTGCAACCGTGCCACGTCTGGACGCAAGACGGGCTCCGAGACCCGGCCAGCCGCCGAGACCCGCCGGGACGGAAAATCCCCCGAGACCTGGGGACCCCGACCTCTTGGAAGCTGCTCACGCACTGGTGGCTGGCCCTGGGAAGGCCCAGCTGCCCGCAGCGGTTGTTGCCGCACCTGTGGAACCCCGAAAGAACGGGGCCCTTAAAACAGGGTCGTAAAGGATCGGCAAAACCATAATACATAAATATTATATATGTAGAAACATATATGTGTATATGTAGATATACCCTGGAAAAGGGGGGCAGGTTGACATTGATTACCCCGAAAAGGGGGTTGACTTTGATTGCCCTGGAAAAGGGGGGGGCTTCTGTTTGACAACTCCTCCTTTTAGGTGCCACAAGGACGCAACGATTTTCCCACACAGTACAAGGTTCGGAAAGTTGGGAAGTGAGAAAGCGGCGCCCAGAATTAACAGAGTTGATATTGCGAGTAGAGCAACCACTTTCCACCAACCACTGTAAACAATGGGGTTCCCCATTGTTCCCTACCTCAGCCGTAAGGCCCTCGAGCTTGTGGACGTGTCCACAAGGTGTGTCCCAGATGATAAAGCGTCCCATATCAACCCAAGGATCACGACTTGTGACTCGGTGTCCAAAGATTTACGGCGACCTCTACGAACTTGTTATCTCCCTGCCGTCTTTGTGATCACTGCTGCCTCTGCAAGCCGGATTCCGGATTGCCAACCAAGTGTATCGTTGCTCCCCAACCTCCTTAGGTCCGTGTGAATGGTTTGGACAAATCAGGACGGGGTAGTACGTAGGCTGCAAAAGGAAACGACTTGAGGTAGAAAGAAACTCCAAACCAGCCAAGCGGCATTAGGAGCTTCCCCTTGGAAGCCAGGATCGCAGAGTGAGAACCTGGCAGCTGGGCGAAGGACTGAGGTGTCTTCATGAGTGGATGGGCCCGGATACCGTATGTCATGTGCTGTATTGTGTTGCTCAACGTTCTCCTGGAGCGCCGTTACATAAATTTATGTCACTAAAAAATCAGATGCGCGGGCGAACTATTTTGGCCCAATGATCCAAAAGTGCTTGTTCCCCAGAAAGCGCTCGCTTCATGGACACTGGCTTCTTAAAAAAATACAACTGTTACATGATTTGGATTTGCCCTCGTTTGGCGAGTATTTGCGCTCGTTGACGCTTTTCCTACTTGTTTTGGGTGTTCAGTCATATTGAAAGTATTTGTTTGAGATCTTTAGCGGTTTTCCATGCCAGAAACCTGCCCGCTCCTTGGGTTGGATTTGGGCTCAGGCGTTCTCCAGGTGCTTCCCCCCGCGGCTAGGGCACACGGTAGCTGCGGAATCCCGTTACGTTTGGCAACCTGGGCATTCTCGCATCCAAAGGCCGCAAGCCGAAAACACCTAGGCCCTACCAGGTCTACCGCTTTGATACACTGAACTGTTGCGTAACATGCTCGAGCAAGTGGGAGAAGGGTGCCCTCAAGTAACAAACACACCCAAATTGATTTCTCTAAGGTTGCCTTGTAGCGCTTGACATATTAGGATCTGGTTGCGCCTGCTTAGAGGTGCATTCCAAACAAGTCATATAACATATCCTACTTGTCCACGGTTAGGGAAACAAGGACCTGCCCATGATTTTGTTGGTTAAATCACTATTAATTGAATAATGAAAGAAGAAATCCCCCTGAGAGGCAAAGCGCGGGCTTAGCCATGCCTTGTGCTTCCACTCACCACCACGTGATTTCACCTCCAACTTTGTCATGATATTTTTCAGTGGTCTATGCGTTGGAATGGTTAAATTCGGTGATTTCCCTGAAGGGAGGGTGGGTAAAGGGAAGAGAGTTCCTGATGGTTCATTGTTCATTGTGGTTTTCGGGCTCCTTCGCATTCTTTGCTCGTCTGGCTTCGGAAGAAGCACATTTGATCTCAGTCCCTAGGCTGAAAGTCAATCATCTCGTCTAAAACAAAATGAAAATCAACATAGACCCCCCACAAAGCAAGAAACACATCCTTTGATGAGGAACCTGTGGTTCATCTGGTTTCTGCGTGTGTGGGGTTCGTTTGCCGTGCTGTCACTGGTCCGCGAATCCAGCTGCGTGCACTTTTGTGTGCAGTTTTTTTTGGGGGGGGTTCCCCTGTTTCACACCTTCACATAACCGTTTGGTGGTTGCTTGTCGATGCTCAAATGCCGGTTTCGCTGCGTGAAAACGCGCGCTCTCTCCCGGCCTCCGCCGCTGACCTGCTTGGCCTGGGGCACGCTCTCCACCAACTGGGGGCTGCATTCACAGGCGCCTGGAAGCTTCGGAACATGGCCCTCGACTGATAAAATCCATGTGCCCTTGGCACTGAAAAAATTATGTCCAAATGGCTGTGGGTCAAAACCTGGCTTCATTTTGGGGTAGATGCACCACCCATTTTAGAACCTATTTTAGTGGTTGGATTAGGATGTTCGCTGGAGGTACGAATTGGATTCTCACCCATGGCCAAATCGGATTCAGACTCAGGCCGGCGGTTGGGACATCCGCCTCATGATTTTCGTGGAATCCATCGGTTCAATTCGAAACGCACTGAAACAGGGCACCTGCACACACACACACACACATTGGGGCGGCCCAATCGCAGAATTTGGGCCCCGCCTTTGACGGAGACTTTTGCTTTTGGAAAAAATCCCGTTTACGACGCACCCAAATTGGACAGAATGTCTGCTAGGCATCCCCCGAGGGGGGAGGGGGGAAGGGCAAAAACTGCCAACGTCATGCGTCAGTTGAGTCTTACATAGAGGCTTACATAGAACATACCGGTGATGCTAATTCCATCTCCCCACCCAGCTCAAAAAGGAGAACGTCAGAGGAATCCCTAGCAGAATGGTTGCCATAGCCGTTCATGTTCACTTTGTCGTGAATTGGTACTTCATTGACAGACGGCCCAAGTCAAGAGTTCCTTGTCTTCAGTGCATTGAGAGCTCAGGTCTCTGTGGTCCGTGCCGGTTGTGGAATCCATGTGCCAACATTGGAAGCGGTCTCTGTGGTCTCTCTGATTGTAGGGCCAACCAAAGATGTGAAGCAACTTCCGACTCTGGAAGTTACATGGGCTTTGTCGCCCTCGTGGGACGCCACAAAAACATGTTGGACAACTGGCCTGTGCACCCAGCCCCGGCGACCACAATTGGATGATAAACCACTCTGGTAGAGTTCACTAAAGCGACGGAGAAAAAACTTCGGGATGAGGCAGATTCAACAAATGATTTGCTCAACAGGTGGCCCTAGGAAAACAAATTCAGATTCGCCTCTCCCACATCCCGATTCGCTCCTTGGTTCTTATGCAGCAGCTCACATCACAATGACATGTCTAATTTGGGTGCCCTAAGGGTCCTGGTGGAAATTGGGGCCTCAACATATTTGTCCTGTTGACATAAAGCAACAAGGCTGTGGTACGGGCACCGAGACCTGGTCCCCTAAAAGGGCAAACGATCTTCGAGGACCCCCCCCCAAACGTCCGGTTCCATGTGGCCATGGGTCAAAATCCAATTCGTACCCCCAGTGAACGTCCCAATCCCCACTAAAATAGGTTCTAAAAATGGGTGGTGAATTCACCAATCCCAACCAAAATGGGATCCCGTTTCACGGTTTTGACAACAGCCAGGTGAAACGGGCGGGACCCGACACGTGCCATGTCCCCCGTCGCTTCCTCGCTCTCGCGTCGCCTTCGGTGCCCAAGCCCAGCCGCCCGTGGCGGCTGTTGCCCCAGCTGTAGACCCGGCCGCCTCGGAGACACGGGGCCAAGACGAGTTGCGTGCGAAAACCGGGCGCTGGGAGTCAAGCCACGCCAATTTCTTGCCCGGTGAAACCCATGGCAAAGAACAACAACTAGCCCGCATAATACACTGCTGATGAGCAAGACCTTCCAAGCAATGGCACATCAAATCCCAGCGGAATTCTTATATCAATGTAATTCCAACAATTGGGGGGGGGGGGAAAGAAAATTTGGTTGACCTTTTTTAGTGGACCCGACAGAAGGGATCTAGCCTTTTTCCCAAACCGCCCCTGCCGTGTGCCGGGAGGAAGGCTTTTTGCTCGTCTCCTTTCAACCCAAGGAAGCTCACTTAAAAAGCAGAAGCAGGAGATGCAACACAGGCTCAACAAGCGAATTTGAGCCAGGTGTTCTTTTGGACCACTGGACGGATTCGCTTGGCACATCGTTGAAATCGAGTTGACTTCCGCGCGGAATCCGTTTGCAATAGGAACCCCCCGAAAAAGGAAATGGTGGAGGGAGTCCATCTAGTTGGCGGAAAGGAACCCCAAACAAATTGAACCCACCTGAAAAGTGGAGATGCATCCAAACCATTCATTTAGTGAACCCAACCAAAAATGGGAGGTGTTTCAGGAATCCACATGGAATCCATGGAATCCATCTGGAGTATAGACCGTGAACTGCCTCCGAGCGCTCGGCTCCTGGAGAGCGCGAGGCAGTGCTGGAACCCCGCCGCCACCGATCGGAAGGGCACGCCGAGCGCTTTCCCACCTGAGGCTGTGGTCAAGATTCCGGAAAGCATTCGCCTGCATGGCGATTGATTCTCTTGGTGTCGGACCGGAATGCAAGCGAGTGGCGTGTTTATGGCTGATGATTTTTAAGGCTGAAAGCGGACTGGGGGATCTCTACAGGGTCCCAAGCCCTGACTCGGCAGTTGAGGGTACCCTTTCAGGATGGTTCAAACTGAAACCACGAGGAAAGCGTCCCCGCAAAACGGTACCTCCAGCGTGGTCTGGGAAAGGGTGTGCAGTGCCGGTAGTAACAAATTTGCGACACGAAGGCCTACATCCAATTCCTTTTGCCTACAAGTGCACTTGTTGAATTAGGGACCTTCAGCGCTCGTTTTATGCCATGTAAGTTCGCCACAATGAGTACACGCAAGTATTTCTGCTCATGTCCCAAACTGCTCCAGACTGGGATTCCCACAGACCAACAAGCCAAACCCACCACTCCGACCCAGGTGCTGCAAACCAGGGTATGCAAAACCACCTTTTCGGACAACTATGTTTGGTTCCGCTCACAAAGTGTAGGATTGCTCCTCTCAAGCCAACTATCAAACCCAAGGACAAATCTGTTTGCTTCCAAGCTGTCTATCTGGCTGTGGGTCAAAATCCAAATCGTGCCCCCAGTGAACATCCCAATCCCCACTAAAATAGGTTCTAAAATGGGTGGTGAATTCACCTACCAACCAAAATGGGATCCCGTTTAACGGTTTTGACAACCACAGCCATCTATCGACCACCCCCCCCACCGCCAGCGGGCGCCTATCTTAGCGGGGGCATGGCGGTATTGAGTGTCCCCCACGCCCAGCTGGCCCAGGTCATTGGCGCCTCGACTGGTCGGCTCGGTTTTGAGATGGGCTCGTTGGTACCCGTTTTCCTGGTGGTTTTCAAGGGAAACCAAAAGGAACACATGCGACCAACCGGCTTTGACATGGGCTCGTCTGTTGTTTTTTTGTTTTTGTTTTGTTGTTTTTTCTCCCAGGGAAACCAAAAGGAACATCACCCCTTTTGGGGCTCCCCTACAAATGGACACACCCATGCATTCAAAATGGAGGCTGTCCAATCCTAGCTCTCAATTGAACAATAGCAATTGAGGGAGACCAAGTTCTGTTGAAGCAATGGGAGGGTCTGGCGGAGTGCCTTTTGCGCACATCGAATTCGTGGACCCCTTCCCCTTCCCGTGGAACCGACCAAGTTACAGAGGAACATGGTCCCAATCCACAGCTACATGAACACATCGGGAAAAAATTAACCATCTGTTCTCGCAGATGGTCAGCTGAGCTGCCCACTATACTCATATTACACCCCTATAATCAATAAACAGCTCACCATCTGGGATCATTATTTATTTATTTTTTATAACCATCAACCAAACTGACCTGAAGGGACACCTGTAACACTTGTGGAACCCAAAATGGACAAATGGCCCATGGGACCTTTCTTGTTTTTTCCGGGTGTGAGCAGAAATTTGGCCGCTTGTGGCACCCAAAAAGAACAAATGGCCCATGGGCCCCCCTTTTTTCTTTTCGGGTGCCCACAAAACTTTTTGGCCATACGCGATCCAAACGGCGCCGTTGAATCAATTCGAGGCGCCCCAGGAGTAGAGCTCGCCGCTGCTCAGCAGCGCCACGGTGTTGTACTCGCCGCAGGCCACCGCCAGCACCCTTTCGGGGAACCCACAGGGTCTGGTCCGGAACACAGCTGGACCTTCTGGGAAAATCGATGGCCTGGAAAATGGAATAAAACCAATGTAAAAACCTGAAATATCTACTTCTACCTAATTGTAACCAAAAAGGATACCTATTCCTCAGTTTGTTTGGGAGATCAACCCCTGGAAAACCCAACAGGTGGTTTCCTTTCTGGGGGAAATCAACCGACCCTTGATTCCGTCTTGGGGGCCCTGGAGCCGAGTCTCCCTCACGTGTCTTGCATGGCTTGGAGGTTCCTGTGGTTTCGAAGCAGGGCGACCAACCTACGGGAGACTCCAAGGCTTGGGTGTTTGTCTAAGTCCAAGAGCCCCAGCATGTACCCCAAGAAGTACTTCTGGAGAACTCATACATACATACATACATACATATATATATATATACTAGTCGACCTGGATGCCACGCATGCGGCAAGTGGCATCCAACATATGCACGCTCGCTTCTCGTCATAGATCAGGCTGGATTCCAATGCTTTGGATTACTGTGAGCACCCCACCAACATCCCATAGACCACCTCATGGCAAGCTGGCAAGTGGGGCGGGCTCCAAATAGGTAATCCTCCAACAGTTGACAGCAAGCAGGCCGAACACTGCCAAAAGATGTGCAGTGTTTTTCAATTTAAACGACTCAAATACAGAAATCCCCATTCTTGCTGGGGTTATGCCATTGCAACTCAAAACAAGCGTGCCCACAAACGGAACATGGCATCTCCCCAGTGTTCAGAAACCGGCGGCAGCTGGTATCTCCCTGAGAGTCAGCTCAAAGAAAGCAAGCCAAGCGCACCCACGCAAGAACGAGGTGTTTGTATCCGTCGTCTTACGTCAACACACCAAAACCATGTTACCAGCTCAAAGAAAACACATGAAGCACTCGAAACCTGCAGGGGAGCAAATTGATCTGTGGTAACTGCAGAGATGTCCGTTTTCCAATTTGCTACTTGGATGTTCGGCCAAGTTAGCAAGTGGTTAGCCACTTGGGTTCTAACCCACTAATAACAAGGTTAACCCCACTTAGGGGTACCTAGAAGTGGGTTGACCTAGGTTACCAACAACTTACTATTTTGGCCGAACCCTTGTAGTTTGCGTCTTGCAAAACACCACCGGAGCGGCCTGTACAAGGCCGGCAGGCCCCGCACCATACCCGGCTTGGCGCGTTTCAGCGCAGCAGGCCCATGGCCCACCTGTCCACAAACCCCAGTGGATCCCAGGCGTTTCGCCGGCCATAAGGTCCCATGGGTTCACTATGGATATGTTTCTTATCCGACCCAGTGGATCCCAGCTATCCTTATAGTAGGCAACCAACAAATTGTCCTTTTGGGTATTGAAAGGCTGGTTCCCTTGGTTGCCTACTGTGCAGGTAAATGGATCCACAAATCGGAAGGACACATGGAGGTCAAACAAAGCTCAGTTTAGAGTGTTGGAGCAAAATGCTTGTCCAGGGGCTATAGTTCTTCCCCTTATCCCCTAACAGCACCCCAAACTGTTTTGGAAGGAAGCAAGCCGGAGGCAAAGGATTCAAGACGCGACCAGCGCAAACGCAGAATCCAGGCCTAGGTGTTCTTTGTGGCCCAGAATTTAGGCCCAGAATTCAGGCCCAGGGAAAATGGATGACGTAGCTATGAGTGACCTCCATCGATCCCTTCGGAAAAGTCTGGGCACCCACGTTCACTGCTTTTAGGGCTGCTTCAACAAGCCTTGCAACAACGTTGGACTCGCTGCTTTTGCTGGCTAGCTACACAAGAGTACGGAGCAGCCGGGCAAGATCCAGACATGGTATGACTGGCGGTCCGAGAACAGGCGCTCCCAAAGAATCACCGGAAGTATCACCGGAAGCTGACCAGCATGTGTGCCAATGGTCGCAAGCCTCACAAACACTCGAGCTAATATGAAATTGGAGGTGCGGATGAGTGATTTGGGATTCAACCCATGGTTCCTTCCGACACTACGTATCACCAAACTGCTAAACCCTAAACCCCAACCCCCCCCTCCAAAAAAGAGTCGATACACTATGTCAGTCAACGTTTTTGAGGCAGCCGCACACTTTCGCTCAACCATCCACTTGAACCTGAACAGCTGAATCTGGCTAGCCAAAGATCCAGCTTTTTAGCTCTTGACTAAAATGATGAAGCTTAGGATACAAAAATCCAACGTTTGCCAACTCAATAAGTAAGCAAATAGCAGCTGGAAAGCAGAGCTACCCGAGCATGAAATGAGCCAGGTGCTCATGCCTTTGTTCGCGTCACAAACGATACCAAACAAACGACTAAGCACTTGTAACCTCCAAATCCCGTTTTCAAAAGTTCCATTCCCACGCTTTTTTAGGGTCAGCGTGACATGTTTAGCCGTAAAAGAAATCATTTGGGTGTGTCTCTTTTTAGGGGTCCCCAAAATGGTGGTTTCCCTTTGGTTACCCTTTAAAACCACAAACCACAGGTATCCTCACAAAAAGACACACCCATGGTCTGAAGTGGCGTTTCAGGGACGTGTCCCCAGTCCCAAAATTTTGCACGAGCCACTCACCCGCCTGTCCGAACTCATTGGATCGGCCCCAGGAGATCGCTGTGCCTCGAGATCAATCAACTCGGTACATGCCTTTTACCTCCCAGGGTTTGTCTCAAATATGCTAAATGTGCTAAATATGCGAATGTGTCCCAGGGTTTGTCTCAAATAGGTGTATATATATATATATATGTTTACTTTTTCTTGGTTGACTAGACATTACGGCTGCAAAGGGGTTCAAAAGGGCTGTGGGTTCATGTCTGGGCGTCTACAATCACCCTACCAGAGCAACGGATGTCATGGACACGTATCTGAGGGAATCAAACGCTATCCCCTAGTAAACATTGGACACCCAGGAGAGAAACCCGTGAGGTCACAACCTAGGAAAGGCTGCTATGCGTTTTCATGGCAAAAGGTAAGCCATGATAGATGCTGTCGATATTAAACCAAAGGTTCATACCAAGTGTTCACATACGGCTTCATACATTCAGCCTTTGATTCTCCCACAATGCAACGCACCATATCCGCTTTGGACTACCGGAAAAAGAAAGAGAGAAAAACACACACACACACACACACGACAGTGGGATCCCCAAACATTCGGCAACCCTCCGTGCCCTTGTGCTTTATCGTGAGTGGGAACTCTATGTTTGAACAGGTATGATGAGTTCTGAGGCCCCCAGCCTCTTGCACCCTAGCATAGCAAAGTTCCAACGAAGGAATGATCTTGTTGTAAAAAAAAACTCTTATGCGTGGGAGCCTCACAAGCATGCCTGAGAGTGTATTTTCATTCTGGTTCAATCTGTTCAACTTGCATTCATTGATGGCAAAGAGCGGGAAGGTTTCGCCTGGGATTGTCATTGTTCGAAGTGAGATGGTCCGCTGCAGCAGCCGGAACAGTCGTAGAAAATGCACACCTTGCAAGGACAATGGGGTGGAAACCTCCAATATGTTCAATTGCTAGTCGTGTCTGCTCAGTCTCATGTCCTCATGTCTCCCTTTGACCATAGACGTTCGGATATTCTGATTGAAAACCATACACTTCTCTAAATGGGGACCGCCGGCCCCAAATGTGGTTTCCCTCCGCTTTTCCTTTGAAACAACTGCAAGAAGCGTACCCTCGAATCTCGAACAAAAATGACACCCAGAGCTCAGCTTTTACCGCCAAAAGCAATATATCTTTGACTCTGGTTCATAAGTGAACCAGTGAATCTTGCTGGTGTAACCTAACACTTGCTGTTGCGCTAGGTGGGGAATGAGGGAATGACCCCAAACAAAAACAACTCTGGTGGCCACCCCTTTTTCCGGGGACCAAAGCCCAGGTTCGTTTCATTTCTCATTCCCTACTGTGGATGGACGAAATCCACTTCGCACCACCTAAGACATCCCTGGAATGATGATTCCCCTGTAGATACCAACAAACAATGGTTTCAACCATGGTTTCTTGGTGCAGGATTTCATGGTTGTTCATGGCTTTCCGTGGTTTCTCATGGTTTTTCATGGTGCCGCGAGATGGATTTCGCAGCCATCCGCAGCATCGCAAGCCGCCCAAAAAAAAAACGCGAGCCCCGCCTGCGTCGGTGATGGCCACCACGTGGTCCCGGCCCCCACTCACCGCCACGAAGCGGGTTGCCTCGAGCCTCGGGGCAACGGGGCAACGGGGGGGAATCGCACCTCAGGTCCCAAGTGGATGGCCCCAAGAAGTTGCAACCATTTTCTGGTCGCAAGATGGTCGAAACCCCAAAAAAGTTGCAAGGAGCTGAAGCGAGGCAACCCTGATTGGGGTTCTAGGGTTTTACTTGGCTATGCTTTGATTTATGGATCCCCCGAAATTTTCTGGCACCATGACGAACATGGCGAACGTCAGCCCAGGCTTGGAAGTCGGCGCTGCTGCACTTACCATCAGGATCGATTCGCCACGTTCCCAATTGAAGCCAATCAGGACTTCCAGCTCAACCAAGAAAGCACAACTTGCACAACTTGTCGGGGTAAATAGTCAATAGTTGCTCATCAACTGAACATGGAGGACATGTTTGCAAAAGAAACCCTCATGAGACCAGAGGTTGAAAACCCCCTCTGTGACGTCGTTATCTGTCCCGAACTTTTGCACCAAGAAACCTCAACCTTTACAAAAAGGTGTTGACTCAATTTAGATGATGACAAGCCTCAACGGCAAACGTTATGGTCAAGTTAACCCAACCATTGCTCTAAAGGTGGTAACTGAACCCCAGGCCATAGTCTTCCAAGGCACTCACTCAGGTTAAAGGCCTGCCTGAACCCCAGGGCCAAGTTTTCGGCCAATCTTTTGGGTCAAACTCACTTGCCCAAAGGACCCAGAAATAAAAGGCTTACCTTTTGGGACCTTTACTAAACATGGACCAAACATGGGAAACCAAAAGGTCAAAAGGTCGGCTTTGGGCTAAGTGGCTGTGGGTCAAAACCAATGGTACCATTTTGGGGTAGGTGCACCAGCGATGTTAGTCTACTTTAGTGGGGATTGGGATGTGCACTAGGGGTAGGGGATTTTGACCCATGGCCAAGTGAGAAAAACCGTCCGTAAGCCAGGGCGCTCGTCGAAGCTGGCCAGCTGTGGCACTGCAGGGTCGGATCCCTGCTCCTGGCTCGCCGATTTGGTCCCTTCGCCAAGCCGGTGAACTGGTGCAGTTTGGCTACGGGGTCCAGCGAAGGAGTCCCTACTGTGGATGGACGAAATCCATTTCGCACCACCTAAGAAACCCTGGAATGATTCGATTTTCTTGAAAAGATCAATCAATAATGGTTTAATATGGTTTTAAAGTGGTGCAGTATTTTGTCCATCCACAGTATGTCCGGCTCCCTATGTCCGAAGAACAGCCCAAAAGGAAACTCGCTGGGCCTTCCCAGAAGATGATGCTAAATGTGTCCATTTAACCGGGTTGCTCCCTCCGCCCCCTGAGCAAAAGGCCGTTACCTTTTGTAGGTTTAATGCAATGAAAAAACAGCTTGTGGGGGTCACACCAAAGACCAGCCTAGTGGAATGAAAGCGTGACCTACCCGCTCGTCCCAATGATCTGGAAGGAAACCAGAACTTGGTGTGTCTTAGCTCTAGTGCCGCTGGTGATGATATGTTTGGTCGGCGCTCGAGAGGATGAGCCTGTGTCAACATGAGCGGAAGGCGCCCAATTCAATCCAGACCCCTATTGCAAAACCAGGTCGGCTTGTGGGGCCCGAAACCAAACTTGCTGATCTGGGCTACAAGGCTGAAAACCAAACCGAAATTCGGGAAGCATGTGTCTGGCTTGGAGAGGTTTGCCACTGCGCCTCGTCCCTCAGCAAGCTGCCCTCATTGTTGCCAGCGGCAAAGAGGCGCCTTGAGCGGCATTGATCTAAGTGCGAAAGGTGCCAAAAAGAGCCGTGCTCAACATATGCCAGCCTACCGAAAATGGGCGATGAATCTTCATGGGGATGGCCGGCAACCCCATAAATCATATGGCGGTTGTCTGAGATTCCTTGCTTCCGGAACCCGATCTTCATCCATCTTCCAGAAAACAACAACTCTCGCAGTCTCCATCGCAGAGCTTTCGCGGGATCATTTTCACAGCACTCATTACAAAAGTAACAAACGAAGTAAACTTCTGCACTCCCAGCTCGAAAGTCGCAATTCAGCTCGAAAGTAGTACAAGAAGTCGTGCACTTCCGTCAACTCGCAGCAGCACAAGAGGGCACCTGTTCTTCCGCAGAGGCCAACACCAAGAGGACCTCTCGCTACATTGGAGCAGGGCAACTCCCGAGGCACGCGCGCACACTCACACACCTTTCAGATCCCGAGGCGCAGACGGCACCAAGCGTTGGGTTCCAACACCATTCACAAATGACTCAGGACGGATGCGCCGCAAAAGCGACTTCAAAGGCAAGTCCCCTCACAGCGATGCGCCGCAAGAGCAACTTCAAACAAAGGTCCCCTCACAGCGAAACGCGATGCGCGGCAAGAGCAACTTCAAATGAAAGTCCCCTCACAGCGAAACATGTGCCCTGCAAGAGCAACATCAAATGCAAGTCCCCTCACAGCGAAACGCGATGCGGCGCAAGAGCAACTTCAAATGAAAGTCCCCTCACAGCAAAACGCGATGCGCCGCTCACAGCGAAACATGTGCGCTGCAAGAGCAACATCAAATGCAAGTCCCCTCGCAGCGAAACGCGATAAGCCGCAAGAGCAACTTCAAATGAAAGTCATCTCACAGCGAAACGCGATGCGCCGCGAGAGCAACTTCAAATGGAAGTCCCCTCACAGCGAAACGCGATGCGCCGCTCACAGCGAAAAATGTGCGCTGACATCGAAACATGTGCGCTGCAAGAGGAACATCAAATGCAAGTCCGCTCACAGCGAAACGCGATGCGCCGCAAAAGCAACTTCAACAGAAAGTCCCCTCACAGCGAAAGGCGATGCGCCGCAAGCAACTTCAAATGAAAGTCGTCTGACAGCGAAACGCGATGCGCCGCAAAAGCAACTGCAAATGAAAGTCCCCTCACTGCGAAACGTGATGCGCCCGCAAAAGCAACTTCAAATGAAAGTCCCCTCACAGCGAAACGCGATGCGGCGCAAAAGCAACTTCAAATGAAAGTCCCCTCACAGCGAAACGAGATGCGCCGCAAAAGCAACTTCAAATGAAAGTCCCCTCACAGCAAAACGCGATGCGCCGAAAACGCAACTTCAAATGAAAGTCCCCTCACAGCGAAACGCGATGCGCCGCTCACAGCGAAACATGTGCGCTGCAAGAGCAACATCAAATGAAAGTCCCCTCACAGCGAAACGCGATGCGCGGCAAAAGCAACTTCAAATGAAAGTCCCCTCACAGCGAAACGCGATGCGCCGCAAGAGCAACTTGAAAGTCCCCTCACAGCAAACGCGATGCTCCGCAAGAGCATCATCAACTTGAAAGGTCCCTCACAACAAAGCGTGATGCACCGCAGAAGCAACTTCAATTTGAAGTCTCCCGACTTGGGTGCCATTGATGAATCCGGATTTCGTTTGCCAGATGGTGCGGGGGGTTGGGGTCCTGAACTGCCCAGACCTTGAGTGGCCAAAAGAGCAACCTGTTTTTGGTAGCTGAAGCAAAAAGAAACCCCGTCCCAAAGAAAAATCCAAGCGCTTTCATATCTCATTCTCCTGCGTTTGGCGGGTGTGTCGACACTGCCGTGCAGCCACCAAACAACAACAACAACAACAACAACGACAACAACAACAACAACAACAACAACAACAACAACAACAACAACAACAACAACAACAACAACAACAACAACAACAACAACAACAACAACAACAACAACAACAACAACAACAACAACAACAACAACAACAACAACAACAACAACAACAACAACAACAACAACAACAACAACAACAACAACAACAACAACAACAACAAACAGCAACAACAACAACAACAACAACAACAACAACAACAACAACAACAACAACAACAACAACAACAACAACAACAACAACAACAACAACAACAACAACAACAACAACAACAACAACAACAAACAACAACAACAACAACAACAACAACAACAACAACAACAACAACAACAACAACAACAACAACAACAACAACAACAACAACAACAACAACAACAA